TCCTTAGACAAGTAAAATTTTAACAAAAAAACCGACTTCAATGGTTTTCTCATGGATTCCATGGTCAGAACTAGACCAAATTGAAATGGGACCACACGGGAAGCACCAGCTTTCCAATAAAAAAAGAATCAAAATCGGTTCACCCAGTCGAAAGTTATGAGGTAACAAACATAAAAAAAAAAATACAGTCGAATTGAGAACCTCCTCCTTTTTTGAAGTCGGTTAAAAAGAGGTTTTGGCCTACTATACCCCGCTGGCCAGACGGGTTGGTATAGGGTTTGTGTCAAGTTTCCGGCTGACGCAGGTGCTTTCCGGGCACGGTTGCTTCGGAAAGTACCTGCACTCGGTCGCTAGGAGGGAACTGAGTCCCGCCTGCCACCACTGCGACTGCAGTGAGGACTCGGCCCAGCTCACGCTGGCGGTCTGCCCCGCATGGGCGACGCAGCGCCGGGCCCTCACTGCAGTCATCGGAGTCGATCTCTCGCTACCGGCCGTAGTACGCTCCATGGCCGGTAGCGACAGTTGTTTTACCGCGGTCGCAACCTTCTGCGAGGAAGTAATCTCGCGGAAGGAGGCGGCGGAGAAGGCCCGGGAGGACGACCTCCACTCGGACCCGATCCACCGCCGGCGAACCGGGCGGCGGAGGCGCGCCTATCACCGCCTCATGCCGCCCTGAGTGTGGCCGCGGGTGGACGGGGTGGGTTTCCCCTCCACCCGCATTAGTTTGGCCAGCCGCGAGGGGGCGGCGTCCGCGTGTGCCGGACGTCGCCTAAAGAGAGGAAAAATTTTGAGACGGAGCCCGCAACAGGAGCGGGCCGGCGCTAGGAGGGGTCCGGATGTCTTAATAACAGCTGTTCCCGGATCCCTCCTATTACAGGCGCAGAGTGGCACACCGTGTGGTTTTAGTCGGTCCGAGTCCGACACACCACCTCGCCGCAAACCCCGGTGGGGTGACGGTCCGAGGGGATTTCCACACGTTAAAAAAAAAGAAAAAAAAAAAAAAAAGGGTTTGTGTCAAGTTTTCCTTCTCTCTGTAGTGTTGTTGTTCTGCGTAGTTTTTTCTCTCAGTCGCCTCTTACGACACCGACGTGATAAATAGGGGTGGTGACACTCTGTATACTTAATCCGTCACCACACGGACCTAAATTCTTTTTTTTTTCAAATTTTAAAACGGGAAGTGCACTCTTTCAAATTAAAATAGAGTTTACCAAATTGGTTTATGAATGACTCTTTCTCTCATAGCCAAGAAGTTTTACTTCAGTCGTGTGGTCTAAAGCACACTCGTTTTTTTTTTAATTCGGTTTCTTCTTCTTCTTCCTTCTTTAATTCAGTGGCTCTATCGGATGTCGATGATTTTGCCAATGTCTAGGTGGGAGGTAGATTTATTAGTTAATAGGTTGAAAATATTTTGAATACCAAGAGGGAATTGTTGTGATTTCAATAGTTTCCGTTTGTGGTTCTGTGGGACAGTAGAGAAAAAAAAAAGAAAAAGTACAGTAGAAAAAAATATAGCAGTAAAGGTATTAGGAAACTTTATAAATTTATTTTATTTATACGAATAAAATGGTAAAGGATCCTGACAAATGGGGTATATACTAGAGTTAAGAGATAAGCCAAATTAACGGGTCGGGATATTTGTTGAGGGATAAATTCGGTTTATGTATTGTTTAAGGTGTCTTTCGTGACAGTGACAGCGACAAAACAGGTGACACGAAGGAACTTAAACCGTTGGCTTTGAGAGTCTGTCTAGACATAATAATTAATATCTCCTATCTAAAAATAAATACCTGTCCTATACAGTACAGGTAAAAATAAACTTAATTTATTCTTTCTTTGAAATTCCATAAAAATAACACTAAAATAAATGGTGCTGTTTTATATTTGTGATGCAAATTAGATTTTTGAAATGGCAATTATCCAATTTGTTTTTTCTTTTCAATTTTTAAGCATAGATTATTATTTTATTCTTTATTTACCGTACACATTTGTATTAGTTCACACAGGATTAGAATTAAATAAGGCAGTAACAGTAACAGTGTCCGTGTGGTGACGGATTAAGAATACGGAACGTCACTACCCCAATTCATCCCGTGGGTGTCGTAAGAGCCGACTAAGGGAGCAAACTACGCAGGACAACAGCACTGCAAAGAGAAGGAAAACTTGAAACAAACCCTATATCAACCCGTCTGACCAGCGTGGTATAGTAGGCCAAAACCTCCTTTCTAAGGAGAGGCCTATGTCCAGCAGTGGACTGTTATAGGCTGTTGATGATGAAGGCAGTAACATGTCCAAAGACGAGCTTAACCCAAATCTGAGTTTTCTTCCAGTGAACTCTTAGAGTGGATAGAGGATAGTTATTTAATTATAATTATCAAATACGTTAGTTTTAATACTTAAAATAAACTCTGCAATTTTTTAATATTAAGGGTATTTATATTAGATTCAGTCTAGATAAGGCCTGTACGAATTATTAGCCTAATTATTTTTAAGTATTTATAATATATCCAGTATCTAGTACAAAAATATAAATGAAATTGAGAATAAAAATTAATTAAGTTACAATATTTACAACATTTACACTGTTTACATACAAGCATCAAAAAAGTCCTTCGTATCATCGCCTACTGGTAGCGTTCCCAGCAGACTGGCAGCATTGCCACGTTGAAAGGCATTTTGTTTTTTTGTTTTTGTTTATTTCACAACTACGACCTATTAGCCCTAAGAGGTCGGGTGTTCTATATTTCTATATATTCTATATTTTCGATACAGAATTGACCGGTGATCACTAATATGTACTTGCCTTGAGTTTCTTATCACTTCCTTATGCGCACGAAGTACCTACACTTACATAAAAGTCGATAAGAACACATTATGAACAGTATAAGCTTTCCTTGTGAAAAATAATTGCTCTGAACGTTTTCTTTGATAAAGTAGAACAAAACGATATACCTATATGTGCTGCCATCTAGCGTAAAGTTGCCGAACTACTTGGAGAAATTGGTTCTGACTCGCACAATGAAAGACTGATCGTGAATTTTTATATATTTTGTAAATTATGCTTTCCTATAATATCTTTTTCGAAAAATCTTAATGGGAACTTTCAAGATATGTCTAGTGAATATAAATACGAGCACATCTTTGCTGATGACAGTTCAGTTTAAGCTGCAGAGCGATAAACCTCAAAGACATCTAAGCGAACAGAAGAGTAACCCAGTGACCTCGGCAATCATTTTGGACATGTATATACTACTTTGATTTCATCTTCTTTTCTATTTCCTAACACACCAGCCACTACCCAATACCTCCTCCCCTTCATGTTTTCTCTCGACACCAAGGTTGCCTGTACGAGATTGCCTCTGAGCGATAAGGCCGCCATTTGTACTAACCTAGTTTAAGACAATTATTGTATGTTTAATATATTAAATTTATTTTTTACAATATCTGGTATACAATAAAGGGATATATTATAATTATACAATATTAACCGTGTGGTGACGGATTAAGAATACGGAGTGTCACCACCCCAATTCATCCGCAAGACAACAGCACTGCAAAGAGAAGGAAAACTTGAAACAAACTCTATACCAACCCGTCCTGCCAGCATGGTACAGTAGGCCAAAACCTCCTTTCTAAGGAGAGGCCTATGTCCAGCAGTGGACTATTAAAGGCTGATGATGATTCAATATTGATTGGAGTTTATTAAGTGTGTTAATAAATATATCCTTCAAGACATCACAAGGCATTTTACTCTGATTACGAGCCAATACAACATGTTACAGTAAATTTTAAAAGAAAATAAAATCCATTGTATTTAAACTTTTACTGAATAACTTAACATAATTTTATCTGTAACAAATCGACCACAGCCCCCAATCAAGTCTCGTGTTCTTCTAACACTTCATTCCGGGTATTTTTCCAAATATTAAATACTTCAATAACTCTGGTTAAGTATATTTCAGCATAACAATAACAGCAAATAAACCACCTGTAAAAGAAATTGTCTTAGTAATCTTTTTATATTTAAAAATGGATTGTCGTTCGTTAGTCTTGCTAAAACTTAGGAAAGGCGGGACCGATTTGGCCAAATTCTGGTCTTGAAATATTTGTGGGAGGTCCGGGAAAAGTTGAAACAGTGGGCAAATTTAGATGTTGTCTTGTTGTCCATCGATGTCCATGTCCATGTCCCCAAATTAAATAAGGGTTTCGAATCTACGGTTCAGCAATAATATTCTGAGTATTGCGTGTCTAGATTCATTGGACGGATGGGGTAGGTTTAAGCGGTCGCCACGCCACTTCCTACGACACTGAGTGTTGTTGGTTTAATCCCCACATGGGACTACACTTTGTGTGATCCATAAATTGTCTTTCTAAGTCTGGGTGTTCTTTGTGTCCGTTTCATGTATGTTTGTAAAGTCTCCCGCGCGATAGTATAGATACAAATATTCCTAGTGCGAGAGTTTAAGAAAAAAGCGTACTCTTTCCTCAATGGCCATCAACGCGTTTGTGACTCCTGAGTTTATTTATTTATTTGGTCAGCCAACGATTATTACACTAAACATTACAGAATTAACTTAAAGTTAGTCTTTAAGTTAATTCTGTAATGTTTACACATGGTGAGTGCAATAATCACTTACAGGAGTTGCAGACGTTCATGGGCAGCGATGGTCACTTTATATCAGGTGACCCTTCTGCTCGTCTCTATGTGAAAAGGGGTCTCACACATAATAAAAAAAAAACATCACAATAGTCCATAGGGCCGGGCCAAGTGCGAGTTTATTTCAAATACACCGCCACGGTGACCGCGTTAGGTGTTGCTACTGGCCTGCACTGAAATCGCCAGCAATCACAACGCCAAACGCGCTCGCTGTCGAGAGCGAGATGATGTGAAATAAATTTACACACTAGTTACTGCCTTCAATATCATAAAAACAAAAGGTATATACCCTTAGATTCCTAGTAGTAATAGTTGGAGTGCGATACTTTAAAACCATAGATTCCAATCACACGATAGAACAAATACCTTTTCCTTTCACCTTCTCTTTGTACTTAGAAATATTAGTCTGAAACAAAACTGCTTTTTTAAGAGATTAAAATTTCTAGAAGTCACGCAGACCAAAACCAAAGATATAGAACGCCATCTATTGTAAACTAGTTGTATTAATATGAAGTGAAACAACGACATCTAGTTCATACCTACGTAAAGTCTCGAAACTGAATAAGTTCTATTTGTTTTTATTATTACTGTTTTTAAGCCTTTTAAAAGGTCACGTTAAAGTCATACTAATAAATCTAGTTGTAGGGTTTTCAGATACATATTTAATAAGTAATTAGCCTTAGCTGAGCCTTTTCCTAAACTAGCAGTCTACCACGACACGGTTGAGTCGTTTTTTTACGTGGAGCGACTGCCAACAGACTTCTTCAACACAAGTACTAGGCAAAATTTTCGAAGCTCCGTAGACAGACTGTTGTCGATATCCCTTTAAGGCTTTTCGGCTTTAAGGCTACTTATAACTTTCGGAGCGACTGCCATCAGATCTTCACGACCTAAGTGTTAGGCGATATCAAAGTTGTGTAGAAAGACTTGTGGGACTTTTTAGGGTTCCAACTCATAACGATTGCCTCAGATGTTCGTATGGCAACTGAGACCGACGGCTTAACATGATCTCCGAGGCACGGAGGGGTCTCAATGGTCATCCATCCATAGGCTGACCTGACTGGGATTGCTTAACTTTGTAACTGAGCCACGAGCCCCTCCTAATTACCAAAATATATTAAGAAAATCAAAGCAACCTAAAACTACGTCACTGCACCATTAAATGAGTAGTGCCTACAGCGCACCCTGTTGGCGAATAGCTGTACTACCTATTTTTCTACAACTTTTGAGTTATTTACCTTTAAGCTGCTGGTTTGAAATAATTGTCTCACATCCCAAGAGAGTCCTTTTGAGATTGGACAACTCGAGCAATAGTTACAACAAGGCGGGTCAGGTGTTTTCTGGTAAACAAATTGAAGATTAAATTTAAACACGAAATCTATACAAATAAATAAAATTGAAGTGTCTGTTTGTAATTTCAAAATTATAGGTTTTTTTCATGCTCACACGGTTATTTGCACTTTACCTATGCCTAAAAACCAGGTCAATAAAGATTGGACTATGATCTAATATTTAAAGTTCTCGTGTCGTGGTGTTTGGTGCTAAACTCCTCCGGAACGGCTGGACGTGATGTTTATGAAATTTTGTGTGCATATCGGGTAGGTCTGAGAATCGGCCAACATCTATTTTTCATACCCCTAAATGATAAGGGTAACCCCTAAATATATATTTTTATTTCTTTTGACAAAAAGAAACGATTTTACTTAATTATGATTTAGTATTGAAAAATTACATAAAACTTCAAATTTTCACCCTTCTACGATCAACGGCCTATAAATATTGCATTTAAATATGTCCTGTTGTTAAGTACAGTCCCACCATAATAATATAATAATTAATTAATAAGTATAAGTAGTGTCTACATTGTACCCGTGTACCATAAAGAATATGAAAATAAAATACAGATGGGTGTAAAACAATGACTGTAATGGGAGAGTCCTATGTCCAGCAGTGGACTGAGATAGGCTGATGATGAGGGCGTAAAACAAAACATACCTCACAACAGCAGGTCCCCAGGCCGTCAGTGTTGGATACCGTCTCAGTGGGAACCTGGGAATGTCCAGTGTAGAACAGGTCTTCTTTCCAAATGGGTTGTTTGCACGTGCCGATATCGACTGTTCTTGACACACATGGTGCGCATGTGAGCTGGCTTTGTGAACCAAACGTAGAGGAAGACATAAGGGAAGGAGATTTGCAACTGGTTGTTGTAAATAATATTAAAAATTGACTTTCTTTAACAAACTTTGTGAGTAGTCGTTTTTTTTCATGAGAAATTTGAGCGTAGTCGGTTTATTTTTGGCGAAATTTGAATGTAGTCGGTTACTTTTTGGGTAAAATATGAATGTAGTCGTGCTTCTCCGTTTTCAATTCTAATATGGTCTTACTGTAGACTTAGATTCGTTTATGATTCATGTTAAAATACTGCGTTACAATTTTGTTTTATCCTCAGTGTACGATGGCAACATACCTTTATTGAGAGAAAATTATCATTTTATATGTTTTGTCTATGAATACATAATTTCTGGAAGTTCTTTGTTATTCGGCTAATTCTTTACTGATGTTGTCTTTTGGTTTGTACGCATAAATAAATAGTTGAGCTAATATTGGCGCAAACATTTTTATATTTTCGTCAAATTATAATTATTTTACAAAATTTACACAATTTTGACATGGTGTGTTCCTGACATTGAAAACAGAATATTCTTTTTGATTTACATAAACTTTTGACTAACAGATTTATGGTTAAAAAGGTAACAAAAACGGTTTTATTCACTTTCATATCTATAGATGGTTGGCAATCAGAAAAAAGATGTTGAATAAAGTAAAATAAATATACCTACCTATTAAACCAAGGATAACATGCTAACCGTGGCTTTAAAAAATGTAGCTTTGTTAAAAGGAAACATTGAGAATTTTTCAAATGTCTGGCTTAACCCACACGTAAGGTGAAAACAAAATTGATGTGATTATGGCTGCCCTGAAGCTGTTTGGTTTGACAACTGGAAAAAGCCTGGTTGTTTTGAGTTCCCAAATATCTTTCGATTTATACGAACGTACGAAGAACAATTATATTACCAAGGAAGCATGTTGTCGTCTGACAGGTGGTCGGCCATAACAAAAAGGGCAAAACCATTTTATTTCAAAAGCAATGAAAAGATCCGTGTGGTGACGGATTAAGAATACAGAGTGTCACCACCCCTATTCATCCCGTGGGTGTCGTAAGAGCCGACTAAGAGAAAAAAACTACGCAGAACAACAGCACTGCAGAGAGAAGGAAAACTTGACACAAACGCTATACCAAACCGTCTGGCCAGCGTGGTATAGTAGGCCAAAACCTCCATTCTAAGGAGAGGGCTATGTCCAGCAGTGGACTATTAAAGGCTGTTGATGAACGAAAGGAAAAAAGCAGAGTCCGATAAGGATGTCGAGTGATTAAGGAGAATAAAAGAAGAAAACTTACTACACCGACCCCAAATCGATTGGGGAAAGAGATAGGAAGGTGATGATGGTGCTTTCAGGTCTTCTATTCTATTGAATTTAGTATTTAAACCTCTATGTCATTTACTCCAATATGTCACCTATATTCTTCTATACTCTGTGGTTGAAGTTTTGTTTATACATGACAGTTCCTCCACATTCAACCGAATATAACAAACGTGAAAAATATTAAAAAAAACTGCTATGTACATCTAAAAAACAGATACAAAAATGATGAGCCAATTCTTTGCTTATTATTTGGTTTATTCGTACATACCTAAACCAAAGAATAAACCATTAATTTATAGACTTAAATGAGAATGGAAATGATTTGATTTCGTAACCCAAAAAATGCATTAAACAAGTATTAACAAAGCACAAACTACTTTAATGTTTTTATTTTAGCTATTTACCTTATAAAACAAAACATTTAAAATGGAAACCAGATCAGATTTATTTTTTTCACAAGCCAATGTTTCTTACATAATTTCTTTGCCCGTTTTCTTTTAATTGTCATGGATTGGAATAGACCCGGCAAGTTACTCCGTCCCAACCCTGATTGGGAGGAAGACCTGTTCCTTACTTGTGTTGTGGGACCTGTAGAGCGAGCAAGACTTAAAGCATATGTAGAAGATGTTAAACAGAAGAAACCAAGAAAGCCATGTTACTGTCAGGTTTGTTGACTTGCCTTGTGTGCGTTAAGTAGAATACTGTTTTATAAAGATATATTGCTTTGATATCTTGATGAATTACAGCTAACTTATATTGCTTATAGTTCCAGTAGTATCTGGGGGCACAGTAGTGCCCCCGCCAAGAAGAGCGACCTACCTTTTTTCGAAGTGCTTTGTCATTTTTTTTAACCCTCATAACTTGGTTTCGGATTATAACTTGATAAAAAAAATCGGACTTTGATGTCATGCACTTACTAAACAAATAAAGTTTCAATTGCAATAGCTCTTAAAAAAACCCCGATTTCGTCCCTGACACTGATGATCATCGAAATACTTAAGGTACTTCCTTAAGTCCTAGATTTAGATTTGGCTCTACATAACATCTAAAAACATTTCGACAGTGCGAGCCATATGGTCTCCTCTTGGCAACATTTTACACGCAAATGTTTTTCGTGGGATTCAATGTTCTCGACTGTCCAATTTTCCTCTCCATTCAATCTGATAATGATAATAATAATCAACATTTATTTGCGAATATGGGTACAATAGTAAAGTTGTTACAAAGGTAATTTTCGTTCCTTCATATTCCACCTTGTGGCATGCAAATATTTCAATATACTTTTGTTTATATCACAATTTCACTAAAACGTTTCAAACATAATTCATGAGTCACGTCTATATAAAAATTACATAAAAAAAAGTTGTCAAAATTTGTGTCAAAATAAATTACAATAACTATTATGTCAATTAAATAGTAGATCATGAGTCAAATTGACTAAATTGTAGTAAATATAATTTAAAAAAGAAAAGCATAATGTTTATATTAGATATTTGTCTTCTAAGTATTCCTTAACACTGTAGTATATTTTTTGTTGTAATATAATCTTTAATTTTAATTCACTTATGCTATCTAATTTACATATATTCACAGGCAGTTTGTTGTAAATCCTAGATGACATACACAATATGCTTCTATTTACAAGCCATGTTTTATTAGGCATCGTTTTTATTTTAATTAATCTGAATATTTAGTATACTTATAAAAAATATTTTTATTCATTAACTAGGAGTTGCTCACGTTATATTGACACTAGATGGCACTTTTTTCAATTTAATACCAAACAGGGCTTGAATTAATCAAACTTGGTAATCTGCATTATACTAAATTTAGTCTAGTAAAAGTTTCATTAGAAGTTCATTCAGAGTCGATTAGCAGAATAGGGACACGTAAGTGTTATTTTTAAATTTTAAATACCGATTTCCTTGCCACAAGTAATATATTAATTTACTAAATTGCTTTCAGGATGGGAGTCCCGGTGTAGCGCCTTTAATGACACTCAATAACGGCAGAACAATACCTAGTTTGGGTCTTGGTACTTTCATAGGTTACGATTATCAGGTGAATTTATTATAGAGACATCTGTTGGCGAGTAGACTTTTTATCAAATCTAATGATTTATACTAGATGGCGCGCTTTACACTAATGAATATTATTACTAATATTTTAGGGTGTTCCTCTCCCCATTACTACTTATGACACACGAAGAGCCGTGGAGACTGCCATTGATGCTGGATACCGTCTCTTTGATACAGCTTATAAGTACAAAAATGAAGATCAGGTATTTTATTTTATTACGTCAATGAATTTTAGAGGTTATACCCGAGGCCTCTCGGATATAAGTTGCCCAAATTGAGAAGCCCAATGCCATCAAAAATGAATAATGCATAATTTCATTTATTAAGAATTTGAAAGTGTATTTATTTCAAAATTGTTACTACTCAATAAAATAATACTTAGAAAGTAAATAAACTGCCTAAAGTAAGTTGTGAGCTTCATAATTCCATAGTTTTACGGAAAAGGTCATTGAAACTGTGAGTTACGCCTATACAAAGTTGTATGGCCTTGAAAAGTATGAAACGTCAAACGCTTAGATTAGATGCAGTAAATACTTAAAACTTTGATTTGACATCTCGGTGACAGTCAGTTCCAGTTATATTGTATATGACCCTGAGCTATTCGAGCAGCCGACCAATTTTTAATATTGAACTCACAATTTTTTTATTTAATTCGTAAAGTACCAGGTTTACAACAATACGCTTGCCCACTATTAGGTAAGTAAGTGGGACTAATGTGGGTTAATAATTATAATCATCAAAATTTCGGGATTTTCAAACGCCTCTGTTTATCCCTTCTGGGACGTGGATATAACGTGTATGTTAATGAATTCTCCCGTGAAAACGTCCTTACAAAACCATTAATATGGATTTTGTGAGTCTCTACGGCGGATTTAATTACTGTTCTAATTAATGTGAAGCCGGTACGATTAGGAGAAGGAAACCTTGACACAAACCCTATACCAACCCGTCTGGCCAGCGTGGTATAGTAGGCCAAAACCTCCTTTCTAAGGAGAGGCCTATGTCCAGTAGTGGACTATTAAAGGCTGTTGATAATGACGGTATGATTAAGTCACTTGTAATCTTACCCACTCGTATGTGCAGGAGATTGGCAACCTAATTACTCACAAATGGTTCTTTTTTGACGAGTTACAAGAGATAGAACGATGGTCTGATGGTGGAGCCAGGAGGTGGATAGAACAACTCGTATTTAGTTTTAAATTTGGTTCGCTGTTAGTGTGTTTTTCTCATTGTAAATTATTACTCAATACCCATGATGCCACTGACCATCTTAGTAGAGATGATGGTATGCAAGTGATACAAATGTATTATAAGTAGAGATGGCACGAATATTCGGCCACTGTATTCGGCTATTCGGCCATTTTTATCCACCATTCAGTATTCGCCCGAATATTCCGAACTATTCGGCCGAACACTAAATAGTTATACCGAATAATATAAATAACGAAAACAGACGGCATAATATTAATCACAAAGATTTATTTTTTATCAATAACCAATCATATTAATACTTTAAACAGTTTTCTTCAGCATTTGTTGATAGGATATTGTAATTGTAATATTCTACCACATTCACAGAACGCCATCTAGTCCCAAACTAAGCAGAGCTTGTACTATGGGTACTAGACATCTGATATAAACAAATATATACTTTTTGTTTGTAAATATGATCGCGCTTTCCTCATATATTATAACTGCTTCGGAAAATAGCCGCTCACTGTGTGTACAAATTCCATTAAGTCCCGCAAAATGTTATAAGTGTTGCCGAATATTCAGCGCATTGGCCAAGACTATCCGTGGCAACTCTAGAGCCCCGGGTGAGAACAACTGATACTTGTCTCTTTATTCACTTAATCTCCAGAGCATTCTCTACCAGTCTATCTGAGGCTTAAATAGAAGTGTTATATATACATTCAAGGGAGACACATTGAGATTAGTGAGAGAGTGTTATTGTGTTATTTTTTATATTTGTTTTGAAACAGGTTGGACAAGCAATAAAGAACAAGATAGCTGAAGGGGTTATCCGAAGGTCTGATGTGTTCGTCATTACTAAGGTACTTTATATATATATATATATAATAGGTCTTTACCTATGAAATTGCCGTTTTGTATGCAATAAGTGAAAGTACTTATTTTTTCAAACGGTCGGTAGGTGCAAGGTCTGGTGGTCACATCTGCAACCAGCTTTGGTCAATCGGTCGTCCCCACTGCTCCTTCACGACAACGCGTGACCCCATACTGCGCAACAGACAGTCTCCAAGCTGCAAGATCTGGGGTTGGAAGCTCTCCCTCATCCGCTATACTCACCAGACCTTGCACCTACCGACTATTACTTTTTCAAAAATTTAGACAACTTTTTAGTGAGTAAAAAATTCAATTCCCGAGAGGCAGTACAAAATGCCTTTGAAGATCAATAAACTGCCAATGCGTTGGCAAAGATGCGTCGATTGCATGAGTGATTACTTCGAATAACAGAAATAAAAAAGTTATACAAAACGGCAATTTCATGGGTAAAGACCTATTATTTTATGAGCGTGGAAACCCCTTAGGACCGTCACCCTACCGAGGTTTTGGGTGGTGTGTCAGAATCGAAACCACACGGTGTGCCATATTGCGCCTAAAATTGGAGGGATCCGGGAACTGCTTTTATTACAACATCTTAGACCCTGATTTCTGCCCGCAAAAGTGCGGTGTATAACATCTCATTTAGATGACGGCCAGGCACATCTGGATGACGCTCCTTCAGTAGTGTCCTCTATATCAAGTGAATGTATCCATGAGGTGACGGATAAAGAATATGGAGTATCAATACCCTTATTCATCCCGCGGGTGTTAGAAGAGCCGACTAAGGGAGCAAACTACGGAGGACAACAGCACTGCAAAGAGAAGGAAAACATGAAACAAACCCTATACTAACCCGTCTGACCAGCGTGGTATAGTAGCCCAAAAAATTTTTTTTAATGAGAGGCCTATGTCCAGCAGTGGACTGTTGAAGTCAGCAAGTGAAGGAATTATTTCACTAAGTCTTTTTATATTTTTACAGCTATCCAATCACTGCCACGCCGAGGGTGCTGTGATCCCGGCTCTCAGAAGATCCCTCCAGTTACTGGAGCTGGATTACGTGGATTTGTACCTGATACATTGGCCTGTTGGCTTGCGTGTAAGAACTTATTTATACATTTCAGTCAATTTACATAAAAACTTATATAATATTTATTTCATAGTGCAAGCTCTGCTTAGTTTGAAACTAGATGGCGTTGTGTGTTACATGCCCGAAATATTTTATTTATGTATGTAGGCATTACAACCAATACAGGATACACCTGTGGCGGAACGGGTGTCATGTCCCTCCAACATAAAGGGAGAATCCTCCGACCAGGCGAGGTGATCATGCCTGGCGGGCCGCGGCCCAACGGTTGATGTTGGGAAGTTGTATATATGCTAATCGGCGAGGGAATTCTTTATATCGCGATACAGGATTAGTAATTCTTATTTTAGTAGTTACTCCGTAGTTCGGTGTGTCTTCATTAGATGGCGCTGTAGTATGTTTCTGTTTCTTTGTATGTGGGAGTCGCCACACACCTAATAGAATATTTCCCCCACCTCACTTCCCTCAAATTAATTTCGATACGTTTACAGAGAGACGGCTCCTACGATGAGACGGACTACCTCGACACCTGGAAGGGCATGATAGAGGCCCGCGCTCGTGGCCTCACCAAGTCCATCGGAGTGTCCAACTTCAACCAGCACCAGATCGACAGGATCATATCCTTGAGCAAAATGAAACCTGCTGCCGTTCAGATCGAAGTAACTACACTTGTTTTTTTTCGAGCCAAGCGGGTAGGCGGTTCACCTGATTTTTAGACTACCGATGCGACACAAGAGTGCAATGCCACCCTGGGTTCAAGAAGGGGGAGGTGGGGGGGGGGGGTTTGGGGTTTGGGCTCTGGTAACCTCACTCACTCGGTAAAAAGAATAGCTTAATACTGGTCTTCTCTGAGGCCGAAAAAAATTGGCGTCAATAAATCATAAATACAGTACCACCGTAATGTTCATATTCGCAAGCTGCACTCTGGTACCCGTTCATACAATGTAATGTAATACTTGATTTTCAAAATGAGGATTATTTAATAAACAAACTATGTAAGGGTAGACTTCAGAATGTATTACATAGTTGAAAGCATTACGTTGTATGAAGGGGTCCCAGTGTGCGCCGCTTCTGTGCCTTTGTTTGTTTGTGATATTTCAATGCACACATATATTATGACTAGATAAATCAAACGTAAACACGAAAGTATGTTGTTATAAAAATCCCTATACATAATATTTACGTTTACTTCCTATTGAACTTCCAGTGAAAGCATCTGTTTGAAAGCGATGCCAAAAGGGTCTAGCACGGTAAGGTAGGGTCAGCGGCCCCAGAAAGATGTTTTGAAACTAACTCATTAGGGAACATCGGCGAGGTGTAAAACCACTATTGACTGAAATTCAGCCTGTTATGTCTCTGCGTTCTGGAGATAATTGATCAAAAAGACGCTAGAACGGGTATTTTTTAATAAATTTTTTTTCGAAAACTATTACAGCTGCACTAATGAAACAAAAACTGGTCGTTAGACAAAATATTAGTCTTGTACAAATGGATCCCCAGGAGCCTTAATTAAAACCACTAACTCTTTACAACTAGTTTTATTAATCACTAGGTAACACTTTACACAATAGGTAAAAGGATGTTCGTTCAATACAAAGAAATCAAATCAATTTATATTGATTGCGGTAACGAAACTATACCGCGATTTAGCCAAACGGCACAGCGACATCTATCGAAGAGCAATGTAACATATTTTAATTTATACAAGTCTACATTATATATTTTTTATAGAATTTTTCAGTTGCATTTACTATAAAAAATAAAAAAACTAGATTTTATTCATAATTCACGCAGAGTACGCACGTACAATCAGAGAAAAAATATATAATGTAGCTTACTATGTCTAGTATTAGTACCAAAAAGTGCATAAATAAAAAATGGGTGCAACACTTCCAAAAAAAAAAAAAACTCCTTTTGACCGTCTTTCTAAGGAGAGGCCTATGTCCAGCAGTGGACTATTAAAGGCTGTTGATGTGATGTGTGATGTGATGACCGTCTTAGGTAGGTACTAATGAATTCATATTCTCCAGAACGCATAGTCATAACAGGCTGAATTTCAGTTAATAGTGGTTTTACACCTCGCCGATGTTGCCTAATGAGAGAATGAGTGCCTAATAAAATCGACACGTGTATAGCGGACGTGCATAGGTTCGAACGAAGTCCCCTGAACGCTAAGTTCATCTCGAAGTTGAGCAATGCATTCATTATGTAATTCACTACTGATGGTTCATAGTGAGAGTAAATACAGTAATTTTCGAGTTCAAAATTTCAATATAAATTGAGTCTCAGGTTGAGTATTAAGTAAATTAATAAAGAAACTAAAACGATATGAGTAAATGTAGACTGTAGCTCTATAATATCTGTAAATCTATACTAATGTTATAAAGCTAATCTCAAGAAGTACTAGTTCGAATTGAAAAATTCTTTTAGTCTTGGATAGCCCATTTATCAAGGAAGGCTATAGGCTATATGACATCAAGTTACGACCAAAACGAGCCTAGTATCAATTAAATACTGGTACGTTTGAAAAACTCAAAGATATTTTGAAACAACTTTCAAAATATCTTTCTGGGGCCGCTGACCCTACCTTATCCTGCTAGACCTTTAACACAGTACTTAACCAGTGGTATAAAAGTACGAATAGCTCACTTGGACTGTGTGCTTGATGACCAGTGGTGGCTGTTCGAACCTCAGAGCCTGATTAGTTTTTGTTTTCATGACAGGATACATTTTGCAATTTTGTTACTTTAAAATGACTGTAGTTTACGAAGGAAAAAAGTAAAATTTGTAATGGCGACCGGATGGCGTAGTGGTTTGTGTAACGGACTGACCAAAGGTCGCGGGTTCGATTCCCGCTCAAGTCAAACATTTGTGTGCATGAACCTGCGATCAATGTACTTTTATTGATCGAACGCATGAACATTTAATGTTTGATTTGGTCTGAGTGTTTCTATGTATAATAAGTATGTATTTACAAAAATAAAGTTTACATGTATTTATATCAGTTGTCTAGTACCCATAGTACAAGATCTGCTTAGTTTGGGACTAGATGGCGTTGTGTGAATGTGATAAAAAAAATAATAATTGAAAAGTCTTCAATACGCCTGTCTTCTATTTCTAGTACGAGCACTTATAAATATATACTATTGACACATTAATGATCAAATCAGAAAATCCAAGTCCACTTCTCTTTCAGGTAAACCTAAATATCCAACAGCATTCATTGATAGCGTTCTGCCACTCCCATGATATCGCCGTCATCGCCTACACGCCCTTCGGCTCCTTGTTCCACAGGCGAGCAGCATACGGCGCGCCCCCACCTCGTACAGACACCCCTGTCCTCAGAAGGATTGCTGATAAGCACCACAAGACTGTTCCTCAAATCGTGTTGAGGTACCTCGTAAGTATACTTAATTGTTCCATTAGAATAATATTAAACAATGGTATATTCTAGTCGGATTAGAATACCCAGAAAAAAGCAGTCGCAGAGCAACTGCACGGATGGCGTAGTGGTTTAAGCGGTCGCCACGCCGCTTCCTACTACGCCGAGTGTTGTGGGTTCAAACCCCACATGGGACAACACTTTGTGTGATCCACAAATTGTTGTTCTGAGTCTGGGTGTTCTTTGTATGTATGGTAGTAACGCAACGGTGACTTTTGAGTTGCAAGTCCATGGGTAGGGGGGGGGGGCGGTAGTTGCTTACCATCAGGTGACCCGTCTGCTCGTTTGCCACCTTATACCATAAAAAAATCCTAATGCGGGAGTTATCTTCTTCAGAAAGAAAGAAAGAAATCAAACCCACCACCCCTCACGTGGCTGTACTACGCCTCGACATTTATGCTGATAAAATGTAACTTTCCAGGTGGAGTTAGGAGTGATACCTATCCCGAAATCTGTGACTCCCAAGAACATTGAGATGAACATCGAAGTTTTTGACTTCAAGCTGACGAGGGAAGAGAAGGATGTCTTGAGGGACTTCGAGAGAAACTATAGGACGAGGAATATTAAATTCTGGAAAGATTCCCCCCACTACCCTTTTGAGAAATAAATTTTGTATTACTATGATGAGTTGTTTTGTTTCATTGTACAGATTATTTAAAGAACTAGCTAGTACCAGCGATTTCGTTCGCGTGGAATTTGAAAAACGCTGCCTTAGTGGGTTGAATTCCCGGACCGGGCAAAATTTTATAGGGTTTTTTTTTCTGAGAGGCAAAATAGCCTTAGTTACTCCTTACATAGAAAAGAAATATTATCCGGCCGTTTAGAAGATTACTCGAAACAAACAGACAGACGACAGACAACAAAAATATTAAACTAGTTTTTAGGCATAGGTATCGTGCAAATAACGTGTGAGCATGAAAAAAACCTATTATTTTGACATTACAAACAGACACTTCAATTTTATTTATTTGTATTGAGTATAGATATTTAGCCCGGTTATAACCTGCTACGGTTCGTTGTGGGACATTGTGGTGGCAATAACAGCATTAAGAATTATTTCTTATAATAAATAAGTAGATGGTATAACACTATTGCATTGGGCTAAACCTGTAATAATAGTTGTTTTTAAAGAAAATAAATAAATAATAAATAAATGTGTAATGAGGGATTAAACTGACTCATCTGACTGACTGACTGAGGATAATCTTAGCGGGTTATATCGCGTCAACTGGTACAGAACTTTTTGTTTTTTTTGTATGGTACAGAACTTTTTATTTTTTCATCAATATGCATTGTAACCACCTCACAACTAGAGGATTCGATCCCAGGATCCCGGATCTCGGGATCCCTATCATATTTTAGTCCCGAAATTTTCGGGATCGAATTTAATGAATCCCGGGATTTTCGGGATTGATACATTTTTTACATAAGTCAATAAAAATGTGCGTAAAAAGAAACGCACTTGCCTTGATTTGATGTTTTGACAGCCATCTTGTCTACATAGCTGATTTCATTTGTTTTTGCTAATGACCGGTTCTGGATTATGCGTAAAAGTGTGTAATGTATAAAGTTTCTGGGCAAAATATGATTAGGTATCTATAAACATTGGTCTCTTAAGCATATAGTTTTTTTTTATAGTTTGTCTAAATAAGTCTAAAGAAGTTGATTTTTTGAAGTTTATTGTTAGTTTCATAAATTATTTACCGCTACACAAAACAAACTAGGCACTAGTTTGTTTATTTTATAAGAAGAAAGTATCATTTTGGTTAACCGCCTTTTTGGAGATTTAAAACTTAAATATTCTATGTCCTCACAAAACTAAATGATATACAAAAAATATTTTTTTTTTTCATTGCCAATACAATCCCGGGACTATCCCGGAATCCCGAGATTAACTGTAGATAATCCCGAAATCCCGGGATTATCAAAATCGACCGGGATCGAATCCACTACTCACAACACCTTTTCTTTCCGGCACTTTCGACGTGCGAGTATTGCGACACGTAAAAAAATGTAAAAAACCAAGTTATCTTGGACCTTAAAGCCCTTAAAGCTAAATATAAAGTCTTTGACTTTGGACTTTTGACATTAAAGGCATTAAAGCAAATCTTGGAAGTATTTTTTTTTACTACGTTGATGCCCCAACAAGGATATATAGTGTAAAAATAGTCTTAATTACAAAATACTCAGAAAACTGTGATCAACAAATTGCAACTCCCCATCTTAATCCTATTCTCCTTCTCCATCCATTGGTTGCGTGGAAATGATCGCAAATCGTTTTTTTTTATGATAGAGGCGGCAGACGGGTCACCTGATGGAAAGTGACCATCTCCGCCCAAGAACGTCTGTAACTCAGGAGTCACAAACGCATTGCCGGCCTTTTAGAAAGGATATGTTAGAGGGGGCAGACGAGCAGACGGGTCACCTGATGGAAAGTGACTATCGCCGCCCATGAACGTCTGCAACTCAGTAGTGCAAGGAGTATGCTCTTTTCTTGAAGGTCGTATCGGTCCGGAAATACCGCAGCCGATAACTTGTTCCACAGATTGGTAGTGCGAGGTAAAAAGTGTCTTGAAAAGCGCAGTATTTTACTTACTTTCTTCATAGTTGTCGTAGAAATCTGCATTTTTGTACTCCTCAGCTTCATCTTCGAGATACTGGACTCGGCACGCAGGCACGAGAAGTAACAACACAACGACTTTAGCCCACATAGAAACAGAAAAGGGGGCCGATTTTACATAAATATTTAAAACCTATCGAATGTTGGTTGCTTGTGTACTATAGAAAAAATGAATAAAAAAATTCTGTCGCAAAACGTCACATCCGCAGTAGTTGAGCGTAGGTAATGAGGATAAAAAAATTGCCGTGTGGAATGATGGCGGAAAGTTGCGGCTGGTATTAGTCCGAACAATTCCTCGGAGCACTCTCCATAATATATGCGATAGAGAATGCAGAGTGAAGCCACATCTCTACGTAACGCCAAAGGATCCAACCGACCGGAGATGTTTGGGCTATCGACGAATTATACAACCAAATATCAGTAGTAAATGATATGGACATAGCAACTTATGACATCACAAGTTACTATTCTAGACAAATTTCTACAGAAATGTCCGTTTTGACGTTTAATTAACAGAAATCGACCTAACCTAACAGTCAAACACAATTTCCCTTTACTATTGCCCTTCTTTATATACAATCATTAGTTTTCTTCGTACATTATTGTAAAGTCATCTATTACATAGCAATATATAAGATTTAAATCATTTTATACATAACGAAATGAAACTTCAGCATTTTGTCGGCCATTTACTATAAACAACTTTTGATATTACACCTAGTTGCAAGTGCAATAAAGTTTCAAATGCCTTGGTGTTTCTCTAAGTACTTTTTGGCGCCACCCCAGACAAAGCTTCGCCAACGGAAAAAATATTACTGAACGAAGTAAAGGTTTCTACTCACTAGTGTGTAATTTTATAAATATTTAAGTGTCGTACTGTTTCTATCGTGTCAGGTTGAATCCATCCGGGCACGCCGTCTTCGCGGCGGTAAGACCCGTTATGGAGGATTGGCTCGAGAGGAGTCACGGGACCCTCTCGTACCGACTGACGCAGGTGATCACTGGGAAAGGATGTTTCGGGGATCACCTGTGTCTGATCCGCAAGGAGCCAACGCCTGAGTGCCACCACTGCGATGGCCAGACCGTGGACACGGCTCTCCACACGCTGGCAGAGTGCCCGGCGTGGGTTGAGCAGAGGCGAGACCTCGTGGCGGCCATTGGAGTGGGAGTTCTCTCGCTCGATAGCCTGATTGCGGCTATCGTGCGGAGCGAGAGTGCGTGGAACTCTACCGTCTCCTTCTGCGAGCAAGTTATGCTCGCGAAGGAGACGGCGGAGCGGGGCCGGGAGAGGTTTAGGACTCTCCCGGCCCGCCAGGCCCGGGAAAGGGCCAGGTACCGCAGGCGACTCAGGCGCCGGAGGTCGCAGAACGACCTCCGTCCGCCATAAGCGCAGGCCTGGGGATGACAGGTGAGGCCATCTGTCACCCTAGCAGAAGCAGGCCGGGGTGGCGGCGAGCGCGTTGCGAAGCGCGCTCCGGTTCGGTTCGATGAAAACTAACGCTGTATGTGCTGTTAACGAGATGCCGCCCCAGACCATTACAGATCCTCATCCATAAGCAACAGTTTCCTCGATGCAACACTGAGAATAACGTTCTCCAGGGCGACGATATACTCTCTGACGTCGATCACTTCCATGTAGACTCACCCTGGTCTCATCAGTGAAGAGTACATTACTCCACTGCTCTAATGTCCAATCCCTATGCTCTCGAGCAAATTCAAGTCGGGCTCGACGGTGTGCTACCGTTAATGCTGGGCCTGTTGCAGCTCTTTTTGGGGTCAGGTTCCGTTCAGCAAGTCTCCTTCTGACGGTATCTGAACTTATGACCACTTGGCGTTCGTCACGCAGACTTTGTTGGACTTGAACTGCGTTGAGGTGGCGATTTCGCAGAACAGTAAGGTGGATATAACGATCATCTGCTGCTGATGTAGCCCTAGGTCTGCCCGTATCTGGACGGCGATCGAATGCTCCAGTCTCTAGGTATCGTCTGTAAACTTGTTGCACCAAAGATCTGCTGATTCGAAGCTGAAGCTGATTCTGCTGCTTGAAGTAATGCTACAGCTTGAGCTGCTTCCTGAGGTGTTGTATCCATTATTAATCGAAAAAAGTAGCAAAAACACACGCGTCTGAGCAAACGATGGACAAAAACTAAAGAAATGATAAGAAATATCCGACTACCCTCATTGTAGAGAAAAAGAACGCTAATTTCAAACTCTGGTGAAAACAGAGCAAATCGTTAGCATTGTGTTTGTTGCTTGATTACAATGTGAGTTGACGGTACTTTCGAATGAATTTTTAGTCATTTTAATCACCATGAAACGCACTTTTTGTAGGTATAACTTTGATAGTTGTAAGTTTTATACTTTTTGAGAAAATCGAATCAGAGTTCCTAGGTAGCAGGTGGCTCGGTTTATTTGCTGACCAGTGTATGTTCATCAGCAGTCTGGTTACCATAGTACAGGGTCTCCCTAGTTTGGAATCAGACAGCCGTGTGTGAGGTTATTTTATTATTAACATACAAATTAACGTAGAGACATAATTGTATGGTTTTTATTATTATTGAGGTGACATACAAAATAAAAGTTCGTTCATGGGCGGCGGTAGTCACTTTCACTCAGGTGACCCGTCTTCTCATCTGCCCCCTCTTCCATAAAAAAAAACTAATAATAATGTAATGTTTATGCAGCATGTTGATATTCGCAGTTGGTTAAAACTATGCTTTTATGTTTTCTATATGTATATAACCAAAGATTTATATTTTATAATGATTGTATTTGACACTAAATTCTAGTTGGTTAGAAATTGTCAGTACATTCATATTAATAAGCGGCATTTGAGTTCTTGAAGGTCCTATCGGTCCAGAAAGTTCACAGGTGATAATGTGTACTACAAGTTCGTTGTGCGAATTAGTGTTCTAATTTTATATGCTTTGGTTGGGTCTATATTATTAGGTATATATGCTAAAAATAACAGGAATTAATAATAATTAATGTGTCGAGGGGATTTTACACGCATTTAAACAACGGGTTTAACAAAAACTTAGTTATTATCGAAAACCTAACAAAAAGCTATTAATATGAGCTAGCATAGAACCTCTGACCTTTGTCGCTGAGTAGTAGGCAGACCATTTAGCAAAATACAATATTAATCAAACTTGAAGTGGAGGAGCACCCTCGTTTGGAGCCAATCCTTGAAGTAGCACTCAATTCATGGTGAACTTTCAAATAGCTCAAAATGTTTCTTATAAACTATGGACATATTTCTTATTATGTACTTGTTTTTGGACTCGATACTTGCCCAAACAATTCTGTGCTGCTAGCTAAGTTATATCATCATCAACAGCCGTTACTTGTCCACAGCTGGACATAGACCTCTTTTTAGAAATTAGGTTTTGGCCAACTAAACTACGATGACGGGTTGTTATACTCGTAGGGTTTGTTTCAAGTTTTCCTTCTCTTTGCAGTGCTGTTGTCCTATGTGATTTGTTCTGTTAGTCGACTCTTACAACATCATTAGGAGGACTTGTTGTGGTGACACTCTGTATTCTTATTCAGTCACCGCACGAACAGTTATACGGCAAGTTATATCCTGCACTGAATATTTTGTGTAAAAAAGATAAATCAAATCTTAAAAAAATGAGTTTCACGTTAGGTAAGCCAACAAGATCTGCTTTTATTCATATGTTATGTTACAATTAAATGTTCTACTTTAGTTTACGTATACCTTTATATTACATCAGTGCTAAAAGGAATCTCGCAAACATACAAAAGTAAACTTTATCCTATGCGGATACAGTAGAAAATATATTAGCAAAGATTTATACCACGACTTATATAGAAAAGTCAATACTTCTACTGCACGAGGTTGCTACACAAAAAGAAACCTTAACTTGTAAGGCAATTCGTTGTATTTTATAGTTGAAGTACTAAGACTTGTGGCTTTATGAGGTCGCTCGAATGAAAATCTTGGCGCCAGACGGGCAGGCGCCATTTTGCCGCATTTTCGTTTTCATCGGAGGCACAGACAACATTATCCTGTTCGGCCAGCTTCCGCCTTCGTATTATGCAACCTAATTTACTGTTATGGCCATCTAACTTTGCCAATAAGATATCTGCGGCCGTTCTTGGGGCCTTTATGCTTAGTTTCCTTGTAGGTTATTTTTTTGGCATGAAATCAGAGAATAAAATTATTGTTATCCACATTAATGAGCGCAACTTTGAAGAGGAATATAAAGAATAAGTGGGTACATTAGAAAAATCTATTGAAGATTATTTTAGAAATAAACCTTCAGATTTTTTTACTGAAAGTTCTTAAGGGTTACGTCATCATTTTAATTAAGGGAATATCAAAAATATTAATTATGTGTACCCAGTTACACACAACACAACAATTTTTTCATAGAATTGAAGTTTTGTTTTTTTAAAGACGACTCCAGCATTAGGAATAAATCCAGTGTCACGAGGGACTTAACAGACGTACATCAAACGGACACAAAGAACACCCATACTCAGAACGTTAATTTGTGGATGACACAAAGTGTCGTCCCATGTGGGGATCGACCCACAGCACTCAGCGTAGTAGTAAGCGGTGTGGCGACCGCTTAAACCACTACGACATTCGTGCAGTTAAATCAAAGTTCATCTGCTAGAGTAATATTAATTTTACAAAACACCTGAGTCAACCGGGGTAGGGTTCAATAACAGCTTCAGAAAGGCATAATATAAAGTGACACTGTCGATGTACTGGTCTTCCTAGAGATCTGAAAACTCCTGTCTCGTGAGACGTGGGTGTTTCTTTAGGCAGCATTAGTCACTTTCCATCAGAAGGCCAATTCTCTTATTAAAAGTTACATAAAAATTCAGGTCCGATCAACCCTCCATCTCAAAACTGTCATAAAAGGTATTTTTGTAGTAAAAATAGTAAAATATTAATAAAACTAGCAGATTACCTATTCAATTTTCGGTTACAATTATCACATTACTGTCAACGTTGGATGTTTAATACTTTCTACGAAAATACCTTTTATAACAGTTATGAGATGGAGAGTAGATGACCAAACTTTGTGTGACTAGTCTAGTAATTTCCCCTAATACCACTATTTGCGACAATACAGAGTGTGAACAACACATCCGTGTGGTGTCGGATTAAGAATACGGAACGTCACCACCCCTATTCATCCATTCAACCGACTAAGGGAGCAAACTACAAGACTACAGCACTGCAAAGAGAAGGAAAACTTGAAACAAACCCTATACCGACCGGTCTGGCCAGCATGGTATAGTAGGCCAAAACCTCTTTTCTAAGGAGTCCAGCAGTGGACTATTATAGGCTGTTGATGATGATGATGATGAACAACACAGACTGGACTTTCCATAAAGAAAGTAATAGACAATAGATTGAACTGGTTAGAAGTTCCTTTGACAGATACTTTTAAGAACAACCTACAAATACATTATTCTCTGTCACCTCACAGTCTGGACGTGACGTTTTGCGTCTGATTTTTTTAACAATTCTTTTTTCATAGTACACAAGCAACCAACATGCGATAGGTTTTAAATATTCATGTAAAATCGGCCCCCTTTTCTGTTTCTATGTGGGCTAAAGTCGTTGTGTTGTTACTTCTCGTGCCTGCGTGCCGAGTCCAGTATCTCGAAGAAGAAGCTGAGGAGTACAAAAATGCAGATTTCTACGACAACTATGAAGAAAGTAAGTAAAAGACTGCACTTTTCAAGCCACTTTTGGCCTCGCACTACCAATCTGTAGAACAAGTTATCGGCTGCGGTATTCCGGACCGATACGACCCTCAAACCTTCAAGAAAAGAGCGTACTCCTTCCTCAAAGGCTGGCAACACGCTTGTGACTCCCTGAGTTGTTCCAAACTCTCTCTATACCAAATTTCATCTCAATCGATTCAGTGGTTTAAGCGTGAAGAGGTAACGGACAGACAGACAGAATGACACACTTTCGCATGTATAATATTATATTAGTATGCTTCTGTATACCACTACATTTTTTTATGAAAGAGTGGGCAAAGGAACAGACGGGACAGAGTGGGTTAAACGTATAATCTTTAGATTTAGTCACTAGTAGTGACAAGCCGTGCTTTGTCCACGAGTCCTTTTTGGAGTAAGATCCTGTTGATTCGTCATTAATGAATCGTTCTGTCAGCAAAACGTTCGTAGTGAAATGGTTCTGTCGTTGATTGGCTCTGAAATAAAACGTTTTGTGGGCGAATCGTTCGTATTTGAAAAGTTCTGCCGTTGAACAACGCATAAACTTAACATTCTGTCGGCGACGCATTCGGCAGAGAAATCATTAACAGCTTTTAATAGTCCACTGCTCGACATAGGCTTCTCCTTAGAAAGGAGGTTTTGGCCTAATATACCACGCTGGCTAGACGGGTTGGTATAGGGTTTTTTTATAGTGACTCACTGGACATTCCACCCTGTATTCCACCCGAGGGGATTTCCACACGTAAAAAAAAAAAAAAAAAAAAAAAAGGGTTTGTGTCAAGTTTTCCTTCTCTTTGCAGTGCTGGTTGTTCTGCATTAGCTCCCTTAGTCACCTCTTACGACACCCACGGGATAAAAAGGGGTGGTGAAAATCCGCATTCTTAATTCGTCACCACACGGCAGAGGAATGTTTGTGTTCAATTTCGGAATCGAACAGACAGGATCACCTGATAAAAAGCAAAGGGTTTTCTGTCACTCCTGTTAATCCATTCCAAATGTGCCGCAGCATGCCTCTCCCACGGTTTGAACCCTACAACTCATTAATGTTTATGTACCCACAGCTGAAACCACAATACAAGTGCTTACCACCACACCGATGGAGTCCCCACCGTACACTAGGGTCCGGAGATATGGCAGCTCAAATAAAAAACGGACCCTCGACCCACAGGAATTTCGAGATATTAAAGGTATTTTTACTGGATTTTTTTAACCATATCTTTGTCCAGGTATCTCACTTCAAGCAGAAAGAGCTAACACCAAGTCTACCCTTTTTTTTTTACTATTATTCTTCATGTAGAAATTACAACTCACTTGTACAATGGCGAACTTAAAGCCACAGGCATATTCTCGCAGTCAACCTTTGGGTCGTGGGGAAATGTCTGAGTAGGTGAGCGTGGGAAGATGAGAACGTGAAACGTGAGTGTGGCTGTGCGTGTGCCGCTGAGGTGAATGCCACGTAGCCAGTGCTGCGGCATGGTGTGTGACATGTGACATGACACATTCGAAACAGCATGTTTTTCAAATTGTTTGTCGTGTATCTTAGAAATAAAATATGTTTTCTTTCTCTCTCTTTCTTTCTTTCTTTCTAGGTGTACTAGAAATTAAGTTTTGTTTTAAAAAGATCATAATTATACTTAGCTGAGGAGATGGACATAAACAGTGGGACAGATATATAAAATACACATACACATATAATTGCTGAGTTAAATACATACATATAATATACACAAACAATATATAAAACTTTATAGTCGTTCAAAGCTTTATTCATTTAAATTAGTCGACTCACCATTGTGTCAATGCTCAACACCTAACTCTCACTATGAACAGTCTGCTCATCATATCCTCTGGGAATGTAGTCTTTGGTATAATGAACGTAATATAATGCTGAATACCTTGCAGGTGACATCTGGGGAGGTATACTATGGGGATCTTGTGTCAACTACGGTGAATTTCCGTGCGTTTAGGCGATTCTGCCATACATATTATAGAAATCAAATATAGCTCACGTAGGACCCGTAATATTTTGTGGCCGTGGTGCTTCCCTGTTTAAAAGGGTGTATGCCCATTTTACTTCATTTTGTCTCCCGCTTTGTTAAGGAGGGAAGTGGATTTACTATATTTCCAACTCCTCCAATTTTCTTCTTATTAATTTCGTTGTAGGTTACAAGACAGTTTAATTTCTTCCTGGGACTTCCCGAGTGTCATAACTCGGTGTGTTCGTGGGTCACTGCTGTGGATCCTGGTGTACAGGAGTTACAGTGGTGGGCGTGTGGGTGGGATTAGTCCCAGTCCCAGTCGTTCCTTAATTTATTTTTTCTAAGAAGACAACTACGTATCCATACATATCCCGTGTCGCGGGGGACTTTACAAATATTCATGAAATGGACACAATGAACACCCAGACTCAGGACAACACTATTTGTGGATCACATAAAGCGCTGTGGGAAGCGGCGAGATGACCGCTTAAACCACTACGCCAACCAGGCAGTTAATATCCTGCAAGTATTTTGGAACGAAGTTCCTTATCGCGCGTTGTGAAAGGGGGCTAGACGGAAAAAATTCTTACGAAAATTGGTCACGACACTTTTAATATAAATTGACGTCTAACTGTGGATACCATACATTAAATTTGCTTTAACGTTCGCCAACGTCCATACCATGTTGAATACACCGGTTCTCGTCCGATCACCGAAGTAAAGCAACATCGGGCGTGGTTATTATTTTAATCGACTTAAAAAAAAAGTACATCGTCCATTCGGTTGTAAATATTTTTATGTTTTTACCTCAACATTCCGTCATTAATAAATTTATTTGGAAAATTCTTATATCATTTAGAAGGGTATAACAACTTGTATCGTCTTATTTAAATTTGAAGGAAAAATATAACCCCTACGGGTGAAAAATTAATGAATGAAATTGATTAATATTTATAATAATTTAGTAGCATTGAATTCGGTTTTATTTTTTTAAAGTTCATTCATACAAATTCATTCATTCGTTCATGCAAACGTCATTTCTGATATGTGTGTAACTGAACATCACTCAGCTGGTAGATCGTGTTGGTAAGGCCAATTCTCGTAATAAAAGTTCGGTCACAATTAGAGGATTCGACCTCGGTCGATTTTTATAATCCCGGGATTTCTGGATTATCTACAGTCCCGGGATTGTGTTGGCAATGGAAAGTGACAAAAAGACAGTAAAACAGATCAAAATATTTTTTTTGTTTATCATTTAGTTTTGTGAGGACATAGAATATTTAAGTTTTAAATCTCCAAAAAGGCGGTTAACCAAAATTACACTTTCTTCTTATAAAATAAACAAACTAGTGCCTAGTTTGTTTTGTGTTGCAGTAAATCTATACTAATATTATAAAGCTGAAGAGTTTGTTTGTTTGTTTGTTTGTTTGAACGCGCTAATCTCAGGAACTACTGGTCCGATTTGAAAAATTCTTTCAGTGTTAGATAGCCCATTTATCGAGGAAGGCTATAGGCTATATATCATCACGCTAAGACCAATAGGAGCGGAGCACCAATGAAGAATGTTTCGAAAACGGAGAAAATTTATTACTATTGAGAGACGCAGACGAAGTTGCGCGGGTCAGCTAGTAATTTATGAAACTAACAATAAACTTCAAAAAATCAACTTCATTAGACTTATTTAGATAAACTATAAAAAAAACTATATGCTTAAGAGACCAATGTTTATAGATACCTACTCATATTTTTTATTTAAATTGCCCAGAAACTTTATAAATTACACACTTTTACGCATAATCCAGAACCGGTCATTAGCAAAAACAAATGAAATCAGCTGTGTAGACAAGATGGCTGTCAAAACATCAAATCAAGGCAAGTGCGTTTCTTTTTACGCACATTTTTATTGACTTATGTAAAAAATGTATCAATCCCGAAAATCCCGGGATTCATTAAATTTGATCCCGAAAATTTCGGGACTAAAATATGACCGGGATCCCGGGATCGAATCCTCTAGTCACAATTAAGTTCCGATCAACTCTCGATCTCGCTACTGTCATAAAAGGTATATATTTTCTTATTAAATCAAACGTTGACTGTATTTGTGATTATTTATTTATTTATACATTCTACAGAGATATACTCGGTATACATATATAGATGTAAATATAATTTATACGTACTATATACCGTTTTATATCGTATCGATTATATCGTATTGTAACCGAAAATTGAATCGGTAATCTGGTAATCTGGCTAATACTCAACTATTTTACTACGTAAATATATTTTATGATAGTTGCGAATTGACCTTCCTTTCACCGGCAACTGAGCATTACTCAGACCGCTCAGGACATACTGTCAATCCATTCAATTTTCGCCTAATAGAACATAGGGTTTGGTCACTTCAATTTCTTTACGTGTCCTTCCACGCTAATATCCCCAGGTCTCCACCAAATGTATACCAAAAACTATACATATTTATCTATACTAATATTATAAAGCTGAAGAGTTCGTTTGTTTGTTTGTTTGTTTGAACGCGATAATCTCAGAAACTACGCGTCCGATTTGAAAAATTCTTTCAGTGTTAGATAGCCCATTTATCGAGGAAGGCTATATATCATCACGCTAAGACCAATAGGAGCGGAGCATCAATGAAGAATGTTTCAAAAACGGAGAAAATTTATTACTATTGAGAGACGCAGACGAAGTTGCTCGGGTCAGCTAGTATGTATATAAAGAAATCTGCACGTGTGTATATGACTGGTATCATCCTTCGAGCCTTTTTCCAATCTAGGTTGGTCTCAGTCCACCACGACACAGCTGAACTTCGAATTTAATGCGGAGCGACTGCCATCAGACCTTCACATCCAAAATACTAGGCGATATCAAGGTTCTTTTGATAGACTGCCGTAGTACTTTTTAGGGCTCCGTCTCCTCCGATGATGTCTCAATGTGTCAAGAATGTTTACCCATCCATGGACCAACCTGGCTAGGATTCCTTAACTGTTAACCTACTCGGTTACCACTAAGCCACGAGCCCCTATTATTATGTCACTAATAGTTCCACCTTTAGGTCCCTAGGACCAATTTTGATTACTGTTTTGCGTGTGTTTGGTCCCTGGATGGTTTAGAAACACAATTAATCCCCGTAGTTTGCTCTGCAAGCGATTTCTAATATTTCTTGTTCACTTTTAGAAGGCATTTTACTGTGCCTTTGATTGGAAATCTCTAGATTAAATTCCTGAAAATTTAACACAGATGTACTTCGGGACATATTCGCCAATCGGAGAATAGAAGCGGGGGCAGCAGCTGAACTGACGAAGACTTCGACCCTCTTTGACTCAACCCCACAGACTGACACTTCATTCGACCAGAGCCACACACTCTCCCAAATTAAAGATACCGTACACAACCAGACAGATTTTTTTTATGACCAGAGTGAGAAACCCACATTATTCAGTAATACGTCCAGGGATACAATTGAAGATGCTGGAAATAAAACTGAAAAAGGTAAGTTACAGTATTTGCGGTGAGTAATCTGTCCGTGTGGTGACGGATGAAGAATACGGAGTGTCACCACCCCTATTCATCCCGTCGGTGTCCTAAGAACAGACTATGGGAGCAAACTACGCACTACAACAGAACTGTAAAGAGAAGGAAAACTTGAAACAAATCCTATACCAACCCATCTGGCCAGCCTGGTATAGTAGGCCAAAACCTCTTTTCTAATAAGAGGCCTATGTCCAGCAGTGGACTATTAAACGCTGTTGATGATGAACAAGAACAATATTTAAGGGGAGTAATAGTGTTAAGTGCGAGTGAAAGCACTCCACGTCATTAAAAGTTGCGTGCAAATGGTAAATGAACAGAGTCATTAGTAAAGTCGTTCTTTAAGCAAAGCCTCGCGTTAAGTTTGGTTCCTGTCATTGTCCAAAGGAGACAATGCGCCGGACCAAGATTGCAGTACTTCCAAGGTTTAGGTCGTGTCCTGGACCGAAGTAGCCAATAAGACAAGGACTCTAATGACCATATATTTAGGAATATACAGTAATTCACACTTGATTGGTTTCTTTTCTCTTCTAGATATACTGATAAAGCACACTGATAGTCCATTAGTATCTCAAAAGACGTACGCCCACCCCTATGATTGGATGTCAAGCGAAAGAGATCTCTCATCGATTAATGAAACACAGGGAGAGAGAAGTGAGCTTGTTTTCTTTTTATGAGATAGGGGTAAAAACTAGACTAGACTAGAAAACATGTCACCTGATGGTAAGCATGGATGCAATCCAAGAGTCCCTCCAGCTAGAGTCAGGGGGAGGGACGGAGGGTTGGGCTCTGGTTACCAACCTCACTCACTAAGTGATAAGCAACGAATTGCTTAACGCTGGTTTTCTGTGAGACCCTGGTACTACTCTGGTGGAGCTGGACCATTCGTGCTAACCAGGCCCCCCCACGGCAACACATTCCCACATTTATTACAGAACAAAAAGCGCTTTAGTGTCATGACTTTCTTATTCATTACAGTCTAAATCTTGCTTTCAGTCATTTCTAAACAACGCTTTCATTTTGTCATTACTAATCTCTCTCTCTCTCAATTTAATTGCCAAGCCCTTTGCCGTTGAGCAATCGCTACTCCTCTCTTATTTCCTGTGATCTGTTTGACCTCGATACATCGTCGATAGACCACGACTCCCATTTTCTCCTTCACTTGCTGTATGTTTTCTGATCTAGGCCGTCCTCGTTCCCTCTTGTCTTCTTAACACTAATAGTCCCTTCATATTCATGTTAGACTCATCAAAACGCATCAAATGAACCTAAAATCCCGAGATTTACTAGCAGGCACTGAGGATGTCCACTAGAACTAGCTTGAAGATGTTAAATTATAGTATTTTCATCTAAACTACGTATACAACCATGCAATGTATCATTTAGATACGACTATTAAAAGTAGTTTTTAAAATCGACTTCAAAAATTTAGCTTAAGTTAGTTACAAGTGTAGCGATTTCTTTCCAGGTGCTCTGAAGGAAGCAATCAAAAGATTGAACCGACGAGTAGAGATTTGGGAGCCCCAGGATGTGACGAACACGATCCTGACTACGCTTTTGGAGTTCTTGGACAATTCCACAGAGAAGACCCTGAATCCACAAGAAATCAGAGCTGTTGATGGTACTCTGTCAGTGACTCCAAAGAATACGTTTTTTCTAAAGTGCTAGGAATATTCTTGATATGACTTCTTCCAGAAGTACTTTCTGTAAAGAAAGCTCTTTTAGAACGTGAATTATTTTGTGTGAAATTATAAGGTGCTTTTTGTATTGGTTGTCTGAGAAACTCCACAGTTTATAACCATATATACCCACCACTCACCGGAGCGGATCGTGAAGAAGTATGACTAAAAACACGCGATGTTCCGTCATTGAGTGTATTGAGTGTATTTTTTCGCAGGATACCTTTACTAGGAATCCTCCGAAAAAAAAACATGCGCTGATTTGACTGATTTGATCACACGTCAAGTCTCGGACGGTGAAAACAACGGAGACTGCAGAAACTTAGAGAAACTGCAGTAACTTTGGACGCGTCTGATAAAATTTATCGTTGAGAATGTAATCGTTCTCAGAATGGAAAACGGAGTAAGATGAATGGAACTAGGGACCTATAGTAAGGGATACGGGAGGTATTGGATGGGAAATAGGACTGAAACTGCAGTAGCTCGAAGAGTCCAGAGCCGTGTTCCCGTTTATCTGTTCCGTGATTCAAAAGACCACTAGGATAGGGTCAGCAATCGGACACGATTATAGCGAAATCAGTTTTACGAGATTTGGGAAATCTGTATTTTGAATTAAATGTATTTTTTTAATCCAAGGTCATTTTTCTTTTCAGATGCCCTTCAAAGGTTCATCGCTGGCCAAAAGCGCACTGTGACTAGAACATCAAAGAGTCCAAGTAATAGCACAGCTAACCCAGACTATTTGGAAGTCAGTGATAGCACAGAAGAAAGCTGGGAGACCAAGATGTCCACCGTAACTGAATTGTATGAGGTCACGGAGTATGATGAGGGTGATACCGATGATACTGATGCTGATGATGGAGGAATTTTTGCACTGCGAGATAAGAAAACGGTGAGGGTTACAAGAATTGAGAATGGGGTGCTGGGATGGTTTGGGTATGAAAGGATGAGCGAAGAGCGACTAAGTAAAATAGTTTATTAGTGTAAGATCTTGAATAGTTATTTTTTTATATAATGACAGGTTTACAGTTTAAAGAAATTGGTGTCATGACAGTCGCAACTTAGTACATGAAAATTTAGTGTATGTAAAGAAAAATATTCATTCATTTACAAAGTTTAGCGACAACCAAATAAACACTAGAAATAACAACTAAAACTATAACAAGTAAGCAAGTCTTTTCGATGTCAGTGTTTGATTCTACAATAAAATTCCAAGCAAGTTTCATGAACTAAGTATTTACAAATTTAAGTCTTCAGCAAAACCAAAATTATGTGAAAAGGCTTACTACACGGTTAGGGATTATTTAGGGATTAGTTATGCTTGAAAGTCATGGACATTTAATGTATTGTTGTATTTCGTTTGTTTCCAATTTATTTATTTTCATTGAACTTGAATTGTATAGTATATTTTTTATGTAAGTATGTAAATGTGAGTATAGTGTAGGCTTGTAATGTTAGTTCATATTTAGTAACTTTCTGGTAGTTTCGAGTGTTTCCACGGCCTACTCAAATGTCCTGCTGGCGGTAGTGCCGCTCTTCGGGTCGCTGATCTTGACTGCTTAGTATCGGTTAAGCTAGACGATGGCTGAGACCCGTATGAGGTCTGTCTCTCTTCAAAAGGCCTATCCGACCCCAACACTGTACTCGCACAGTTTTCTTTACTTTATTTACGGACTCAAAAAAAAGAGACACCTCTTTGGTTTGTTTCGGCGTTTCTTTCCAGAGCGAGTCTAAGGAAATGCCAGCTCCTTCTAGCTGTAAAGTCCGACTTGTAAATATATCTGTAAAAAAATACTAACAGAAATAAATATCATTTATCATAATTTCATCATGTGCCGTTATGCAGCATGCAACAGACAAGTTCACATTTTTTACAAATATATAATGCTAGCTATTGCTACCGGCTGCGTTCGCGTCGTTATTTCTTGTTTCGTGTTTCTAACTTTAAAAATGACGAACTTCAAGACAGCTGTTCATCCCTTATTTTACCTGCTTAGTCGTGAAATTTCCAAAAATCCTCTCCTAATTGGTGCTTACAACATCACATCATCACATCAACAGCTTTTAATAGTCCACTGCTGGACATAGGCCTCTCCTTAGAAAGGAGGTTTTGGCCTACTATACCACGCTGGCCAGACGAGTTGGTATGGGGTTTGTGTCAAGTTTTCCTTCTTTTTGCAATGCTGGTGTCCTGCGTTGTTTTGCGCCCTTAGTCGGCTCTTACGACACCCACGGGATGAATTGGGTAGTGACATTCCGTATTCTTAATCCGTCACTACACGGACCTTACAACATAACTCCATTAAATTATAGCCCTAGCGCTTAATTCTCTGCGATGACGAATCAGTTAGGGCAAATAATTTGATATGTAAACATCACATTAAAGTTTATGATATTTTATTATCTACATTTATGAAAATATGAAGATATTATGTGCATATTGGACTCGATTGGACGGATCAGGAATACGAAGTGTTACCATCCCTATTCATCCCGTGGGCGTCGTAAGAGCCGACTAAGGGAGCAAACTACAAAAAACAGCACTCCAAAGAGAAGAAAATGTTGAAACAAACCCTATACCAACCTGTATAGTCCATCGGGACGCGTTTTCTTCTCCACCCGCCATAACGGCCAGCCGCGAGGAGGCTACGTCTGCGTGTGCCGGACGTCGCCTGAATAGAGAATGTACCCGAAGGAGGTGCCCGAGCCGTTGCGGGCAGGCACTAGGAGGGGTCCGGATGTCTTAATAGCTGCAGTTCCCGGATCCCTCCTATTACACGTAAAAATAAAACCTGTATAATCCATGGCCATAGGTATAGTAGGCCAAAACCTCATTTTACAGTAGAGGCCTAAGTCTAACAGTAAAGGCTGATGATTGTATCTTTATAGAATAGAATAGAATACTATCTATGTCATAAAGCATAGCAAATATAAACAAAAGTTAAATAACAACATACACAAAGAAACTAAAAATCAAGTAAGGTTTGATAAACACATTAACAAGGCTATATTTTTCAATATGTCAATCTTTCATACCTGACAGAATTGACATGACGCGTGTATGAAAAGTTATGATAAAGTTTTATAAATAAACTAGCTGACCCGGCAAACGTTGTATTGCAAAACAAAAAAATTAGGGATGGGTCACCCTTATCATTTCGGGCTATGAAAAATAGATGTTGGCCGATTCTCAGACCTACCCGATGTGCACACAAAATTTCATGAGAATCGGTCAAGCCGTTTCGGAGGAGTACGGGAACGGACATTGTGACATGAGAATTTTATATATAAGATAAAGTTTATTGTGTCAAATACTTAGTACATACATAGATAGTTGTGTTCAGAATTTTCTTTTAAGCAAATAATGCTTGTAGTAGAAAATTCCGCTCCTCCACATATTACATAGCATGATGTTTAACACAATAATTTGAGATATTAAGGTAAACTATTTGGAAACATTATTTCAAATACAAAGTGATACAAATTATTTATACTTAGAAATGGTTGTGTGTGTGTGTGTGTATATCTCATTCTGTGTGTTGTAACAAAGCCTCTGTGTCCTCGTAAGTGAGTGGTTTTATCCACTTTACTAGTGTTTTTACTTATCAATAACTGTTCCTTATCAACCTATGTACCATAAAAACCTTTAATGTTACTGAGGGGTGTACACCGTGTTTCAGAAAATAGGTGGACCCTCAGTGTACACTGTGGTGGATATATACCACCTCAGTAGTGATTTTCAGTGCCCCCCTTAGTTGTCGTCCTGATGCCGACAACAGCAACACGACATAACAAAATACAACCTACAAATTTCTGTCACATGTCATGTAAATGATAAATTCTCTCCTTTTCTGTCACGTATTCGCTCCCTATATCTTGGAACGATATTTTCAATTCAATCCTTTGTTCCCTGATACAAAATTTTATGATTTTCAAGCTAAAACGTGTCAAAGAGAAGAAAAAGAGAACCAAGAGGATCAGTAGGACGCAGAGAACGCTGACACCGAGACTTCCTGGTGGAATGATGGTCGATGGCAAGTGGCATACGTTTCCACCTGGATGGCCATATAAATCGGTGAGTCTTCTTACGTGATACAACGAAGAATTAGTACTCTTTCCTATACTGTCATCATGGGAGTCATGTTTCAACATATGGGCTGCCTCGACTGTCTCACAGCCTTTACAGTAAACCTTTTTATTTTTTAATTTTTTTTTACATGTGGAAATCCCCTGGGACCGTCACCCCGCCGGGGCTCTCGTTCGGCGGGGCGGTGTGTCGGACTGTGTGCCCTCTTTGCGCTTCCAGTTTAGGGGGGGGGGGGGGGGGGGGCTTCAGGGACCTGTGTTAAGGTAACTGGATACCAAACCTTCCCTCCCCCCCCCACCAACACTTGTACTCAAAGTGCGGCAACACTCATGTGTCTCTTAACATCTCTAAATTTAATTATTAAGTAAATAACTTTTTCGGCATTTGAAAAGCGCGTTCGATTCCCGGACCAGGCAAAATTTTCTAGGGTTTATTTGAAAGGAAAAATAACGTAAGTCACTCCTCATATAGACAGCTACCTGGTAGTAAAATATTATCAAAATCAGTAAAGCCGTTTAGAAGATTACCCAGAACAAACAGACAGACAAAAAATATTTAAACTGGTTTTTAGGCACAGGTATCGTGCAAATAACCTTGTGAGCAAAAAAAAACCCCTATTATTTTGACATTACAAACAGACGCTTCAATTTTATTTATTTGTATAGATAATTCAGTAGTGTCTCGAAACATTAATATAATCTAATTATGAGCACTCGCAAAGCCCGCACTTAACATTCCCGAAAATGCATTTATCGCGCGAATCGCGTTTGTGCGACACAGGATTTTATCCCTGTAGTTCAGTCCGTATTTACTAGGTGGCGCCATTATGTTTTAGTTGTAACATCGATTTCACCACACAATAGTATGTGTTCAGTTTACTTAGTTTAAACCTTTGGTTTGGTTGATGATCAGCTAACCCGACACAAATCTGCACATTTCAGACACTTTGTCCGACAACACAAAACACTCCTTACAAGTTGGATATTAGTGGTATGCTGAAGATTCTTGCAAATCTAACGTAAGTACCGTTGCTTTGGTATTGAAGCTGTGGATTACATGGCAACCAGACACCACTGGCCTCAGGCCTCGTAAGGTTTGTCCCTCCAACATTTAGGAAATCTTCGACCTCCTTCCGATGTTTGAAAATTGTATACATACTAATCGGTCTCAAAACTTTCATTACGCGATGCAGGATTTGTAATTAGGTACTCCTTAGTTAGACGTTTTTTCGTTAGATAGTATTTGAGTATGTTTTTTATGTAGAAACTAGCTGAGACCCGCGGTGTTACCCGCGTTTGTTGTTATAACCGCGAGCAACGCCGCGGGGCGAAGCTAGTCTAAAAAAAGTAGCCTAAGTTACTCCTTATGTCATCAGCTATATGCCAGTGAAAGTCCCGTCGAAATCGGTCCTGTCGTTCCAGAGATACCCGGAACAAACAGACAGACAGAGAGACAGACAGACAAAAATTTAAAAAAATGTTATTTTGGCATATGTACCGTGTAAACATACATAATATTACAAACAGACACTCCAATTTTATTTATTTGTATAGATGTATAGATTGCAGACACGGAAAAAATCATAGTGCTCATCTCACAATTATTTGTCCCGGGTGGGAATCGAACCTACGACCCCTAGCTTAGCAGTCGGGGTCACTAGCCACTAGACCAACAGGCCCTCGGATGGTTCGTGTATTTTCGCTACGGTTGTCAACAGAGAAAGGAAAGAAGTGATACACGATTATTACCATATAATTACAATTTATTTGATTTGCCATTATGCGTCATAAAAAAAAAGGCCGAAAAAGATAGCCACGACCCAGCTTTTAACAGACATGCTGATAATATCAAAGGAACCATACTTACACAAACTTATCGACATAACAGAACACTCATTCGCACTCACACATTTACACACCAACTGAGATGAAAAGTAATGATTTCCTATCTATTCGATAGATGGCGCTGAATGACTGACATAAAAAGTGTCGTTACAACTTTTCGTGAGAATTTTTTCCGTCTAGCCCCCTATCACAACGCGCGATATAGAACTTCGTTCCAACAATACTTATTACATAGATTTCATATTATCGGATACAACACTTGACCCTGAGACAACACAACCACTCAGATATTTACACATATCTTTACAGAATGCCCACGATTCACTCGCACAAGAGTCAATCATGAACAACTCTGTCACTAAGATACTTAAGACCCATAGAATTTAACACTACTCATCACAAACAGCACCGCTACCCACACCTTTGTAACTCACATCACCCTCATACTCAACACACTTAAACAATTCAATAACATATCATAATCATTATCAATCAACAGCTTATAACAGTCCACCGCTGGACATAGACCTCTCCTTAGAAAGGAGGTTTTTGCCTACTATACCACGCTGGCCAGACGGGTTGGTATAGGGTTTCATGCCCCGCATTCGAGGTCGTCGGCCTCCAAGGGAGGAGGTCTACTGGTGGTCCCAGGAGCTGGCGGACCTCCGTGCGGCCTGTACACGTGCCCGGAGGTCCTACACGCGCAGTCGGCGGCGTCACCGTGGAGACGGTGAGGAGGACCGGCTTCATGAGGAGTACCGACGGGCGCGGAAAACTCTGAAGCTGGCCATTAGCCGCGCCAAAGAAGAAAGAGACAGGAGATGCTGGAGGGTCTTAATCGTGACCCCATGGGGTCGCCCTTACCGCGCGTGCGACAAAAGCTCCGCGCGTCGGGCCCCCCCCTTACGGATACTCTCCAGCCCAGCTTCCTGCGAGAAGTGGTTGAGGGCCTTTTCCACAACGGGCGGAACACACTCCCCCCCCGTTCGATGGCCTCCCTGGCCGGAGACGACGGGGAGCACGGGGAGGATAATGTTCCGCCCGTCCGGGATTCGGAGGTAGGGGCGGCTGTTCTACGGATTCCGTTCCAAGAACACCGCCCCTGGGCCGGAACGGGTACCGGCCGAGTGCTGGCCCTGGCCCTCAACCACATGGCAGCCGCCTCGGGAGGTGTTCGACGCTAGCTTGGCGTCGGACGCTTCCCTGAGTGCTGGAAGAGCGGGAAGCTGGTCCCTATTGAGGAAGCCGGGACGGCCTGCCGATTCGGTCGCGGCCTATAGGCCCATCGTGCTGCTGGACGAGGCGGGCAAATTGTTTGAGAGGGTCTTTCTGCCCGCATCGTCCGGCACCTCTGCGAGGTGGGCCCCGATCTGTTCGGACGCCCAATTTGGTTTTCGGGCGGGGCGTTCGACAGTCGACGCCGTGTTGCGCCTGAGGGCCGTGACCGAAGAGGCCGTGAGCTGTGGCGGCGTGCTGTTGGCAGGTGTCATTAGACATCGCCAACGCATTCAATAGTCTGCCATTCAGCTGCATCAGGGAAGCACTCCACTATCATGGGGTGCCAAAGTACCTGAGGCGGCTGGTGGCAGACTATTTAGAGAGGCAAAAACCGGGCGTTTACGAGACCTGAAAAAGGGAAATTTAGGATGGGGGCCCCCATGCCCCGGGGCGGTGTTCCACCGGGGGTTCTGTTCTTTGGACCCCTCTTGGGGGAACCAAAAAGGTACAACTTCCCTTCGCCCCCGAATTTCCCCCCCGGGCTGGGTGTAATCTTTTACGCAAAAAACCTGACCCCTGGTGAAAAGCCCGGGGGGGCCCAAAATTTCCCCCAAAAAGGTCGGCGCGCCTGGCCCAAAAGGTAAAGTCTCCCTGGTGGTGGGGCCCGAAATTGAGGCGTTTGGGGCTTACGGGTGGCCCAAAGAAAAAGGGAAAAGGCCCTGTTTATTTCGGGGCCCCGCCCGTGGTCCCCCCCTGGCGCCTAAATCTTTGGTAAAACCTCGTCCTCGTACCGGGGGGGGCCCAGATAGAAAAAAATCTGGGCCTGATCCGACGGGGAGGTGGGCCTATTCGACAAACCCCTTTTTTCCGACAGCTTGCTCCAAAGCTGGTCGGGCCCCGCTCGTCATCCCTAGGGGCGACTCTTGCCCAAAAATGGGTTTGGGGGAACGGGCGCCCGCGACAACGAACGGCTGTCCCCCGAGGTTTGCCCCGGGTTAAAGGGCGACTGTTAACGGTGCACCGGGGGTGAGGCGGCGGCTCTGACCGCCCAAATAGGGTACGCCTCTGGGCGCCCTAAAAAAAAGGGTAAAGGCGGTCAAAGCCCAAAACGCGGTTTCCCGGCAAAAACCGTTTCTACGGGGTGGCGTGGCCGGTTTTGGGGCCGGAAAAAACCCCACCGTGGGATTTGGGGGCGGAAAGTCCCAAAACCCCCGAAGTTAAAAAATCGGCGATGGGCTAAAATCCCGGGGGGGGAGAGCGGATTTTCCCCTCCGCCCGGGGAAAATGTGGGGGAATGGCGCGAAGCCGCTGGGGCCCGAGCCACGGAGGGCCCTCTTTGGTCGTTAAAACCCTGGGAAGCCCCCCGCGCTGGTTTTTCGGCCGGCCGTGGAGGCTCCCAGCCGGTCATCGCCGAGTGGGAAAGGGCTCAAAGACACGGGCCCCCTTTTTCCCTTCCCGGGCTGAACGCGGTTTGTTTTTCCGGGCAGGGTTTTGCTTGGGAAAATTTACCTGCACTCGGTCCGCTAGGGGGGAACTGGTCCCCGCCCTTCCACCACTGCAAAACGGGAAAGTGGGGCTTCGGCCCCAAAAAACGCTGGCGGTCTAGCCCCGGAAATGGGGGGGCGAAAGCGCCCGGGTCCCTCCCCCGGTCATCGGGAGTGGATCTCTCGCTACCGGCCGTAGAAACGCCTTCCATGGCCTGAAAACAACATTTTTTTGTTTTACCGGCGGTGGGCCAACCTTAAAAAAGAAAGAAAATAATTTTCGCAAAAGGAGGGGGCCCGGAGAGGGCCCCGGGAGGACAAAAAACCCCCACAATCGGATACCAAAACCCGCCGCCGGTCGAAACCGGGCCGGAGGCCCCGCCATTGCACGCCTCATAGCCGCCCTAAAAGGGTGGCCCGCGGGGTTGGACGGGGGTGGGTTTCCCCCCCAAACCCCCCGAAATTATTGGCCGTCCGGGGGAAAGGGGGGCGGCTCCGCTAGTGCCGGACTTTGGGCCTAAAGAGGGGAACATCCCCAAACTTTGGGAAAACGGACCCCCCCACCAGGAGCGGGCTGGCGCTGGGAAAGGGGGCCCGGGAAAAGGGGCTTAACCAAAAAGCTTTTCCCGGAAATTCCCTCCTGTTACAGGGGGCCAGAAGTGGCACACCGTGTGGTTTTATTGGGTCCAGACCCCGACACCCGTTTCCATTTGGGGTCCCGAGGGGTTTTTCCCCCACGTTAAAAAAATAAAAAAAAAAAAAAAGGGTTTTTGGGGCCCAAGTTTTCCATTCTCCTTTGCAGGGCTGTTGCCCTTTCGTTTTTTTGCCCCTTTTTTTGTCGCCTCTTACGACACCCACGGCCCAGGGAAAAGGGGTGGGGGGAACCCCCTGAAAATTCTTAATCCTTCACCACACGGGCCAATAATATAACGCCAAAAAAATACACACCCGTTTTTCCTAAACCAAAAAAAAACCAAAAAACAATAATTACTTTTAAACCCAAAACTTTCTACCCTAAACCAACACCGTTTAATCCCAAAAAATTTTTCTCCTTTCAATTGATAAAAAAATATATTTTGGCGAAAATTTCCCAAAACAAAAAAATCCCACCCCTTGTGTTTCTGAAACCCTTTTAAATAAAGTTTATAATAAACTCCTGGGTAAAACCCTTAAATTTTAAAAAAAAAAAAAAATTTGGTTACCGTAATTAAAGGCTCTTTTTTGGTTTAGAATAAAGAGGTTGGTGTGTGGGTGGTGAAGCTGGTTTAAAAAACGTTTTCCTATTGGTCTTTTTAAGGGTATGAAAATTGACTTGGATCTGGGGGGAAAAGGGTTAAAATGAAAGTATGTACGCGTACGCAAAACCTACATGTCCAAAAATATAAATACGGAAAAGGCTTGGCCATAAGGCGTAAAAAAAAAAGGGGGGTTGGGACTTCGCCCAAACACCACCGTTTTGTGGCAAAAAGGTACGTAAAACATTTTTTTTTAAAGACAAACTCTTGTTTTAAAAATTTCAGCGGTTTGGCGTGTGGTTTAAGGGGTTTCGCCCACCCGGGGCCTTTCCTCCTACTAAATTGTTTGTGGGTTAAAAACCCCAAACATGGGAAAAAACACTTTTTTTGGGAATCCCAAATTTTTGGGTTTTCTAAAGTCTGGTGCCCTTTGGGGCCGTTTTAAATGTATGGTTTTAAAGGGCCCCCCGTGACCCCGGATTTTTTTCCTAATCCCGGGAGTTTCTTTTAAAAAAAAAAAAAAAAAAATGGTCCCCCTTTGGTTTATTGCGAGGCCCCGGGAAACCTAGACCCATTGCGGGGCCCCCTTATTTTTGTGGAATTTTTTTTAAAATGGAGAATTTGGGGAAAAAAAAATGAACGCAACTTATCCTGCTGCTCGAAAAAAGGGCAAAAAAGTCTACGACTGTTGACAAAAGGCCCAAGGGAAAAAGAATCTTTTTTTTCATGGGCCCTTCGATGAAGGGGGTTGTGGGTTTTTTGATTCCGTCGGATATAAACCCCCTAATAAACAAAAACCTTTACATTAGTTAGTTTGGGGGTTAAAAATGTTCACGGGGGGAAAGAAGCATGCGCCCCCCAAAAATGAAAACTTTCCACTAAAACAAAAGAAAGGGTGTGGGGGGTCAATGCCCAAAACCCCCCTTTTTTTTTTTGTTACGGAACGGAAACCCCCATGGTTTACCACCTATCGGGGGCAGGGTCGGGGGGTGGGAACCGACAAAAACCGCCGGGCCCGCCCGGGGTACTAAAAAACCGGGGAACCGGGTATCCCCCTAAAAAGGGGAAAGGGTCCCTGGTGGTCCAATCCCCCTAATTTGGAGGGGCCCATTTTCAAAAAACCAGTCTCTTCTTTGATTTCAAGTGTCTTTTGGGGTGGGGGAAATGTTATTATCAGAAAAATGGTCTTATTATCAGGAAGAAGCTACTGGTGCTTTCTCCCCGTATTAATTTTTAAAAAATAATTTATAACAAAACGATCATCATCACCCACAGAAATAAACACCCTTTTAAATAGTCCCTGCTGGCCCATGGGCCCCTCCCCTTTGAAAAGGGGGTTTTTGGCCTACTATACCGCTGGCCAGACGGGTTGGTAAGGGTTTTTTTTTAAATTTTTCCCTGTTCTTTGCAGGGGGCGTGGTTGTCTTACCCTTAGTGGGCCTTTTACACCCCCAAAGGGGAAATTAATAGGGGTGGACCTCTGTATTTTAAATCCACATGATAAATTTTTTGTATTTCACTGTGATCAGTGTCTTTGCCCCAAATAGTCTACCCTGCTCGGGATTTATGCCAAGAAGTCAAATAAAACCCCTTTAAAAAGCTCAATTTTAGATAATTTGGGTTAAGAATCTGATTCAAAACGGAATCGGGCGGTGCTTGTCCTTAAAGGGGGTTTTAAACACCGAACCGGAGTCTTGATACCGTTTTCCCCGTTGGGGGGCATGCTGTCACTCTGGGTCCCGCACCCCAAAAAGGTTCCAAAAGCCCTGGGACCAAAAAAGAAGATACGCCCAAAATAAAACACTTGCGGGTCTTCACATGGTCTTAACTTGAAAAAACTTACAGGCCTCAGCAAGTTTTAAATTTTTTAAAAAAATTTTTTAAATCATTTTTGATATGTTTTTTAATTTGGGAAACTCAATTAAGCTGGGGGCCCAGAATTTTTTGTGTTGTTTTTTAAAAAAATTTTAATACCAATTTAGATTTCCCCTTTATTAAATTTTCATCATCTAAATGCCCTCCCTTTCCGAAATTTAGGGTGTCCACAAACCGCCCCTTTCTTCCAAAAGAGAAGTGCGCGATCTTCCTTTTGGGGGTGATTGGCAGGGAAAAGTACCCCACTGAGTATTTATATATTTTTTTTAAATTTTTGTTTTTTAGTTTTATTGTGTGTTTATATATTGTGTATGTCCCCGGGGCTTCAATTTTTTTTTAATTTTAAAATTTTATTTTGCACCTCCCCCATCCAAAAATTTTTACACCCCCTTAAGGTTGACTGGGAAAAAAATGCCTAAAGGGAAATAAGTCCGCCTTTGTAAAAACAGGGGGCATTTTAAGTTTTTCCCCTTTAAAAAAATTTTTAAAAAAAATGAAAAAAAGCCCTTTTTCAAAAAATTTAAAAACAAATTTTTCTGGGCCCCCGGGTATTTTCTAGCAAAATGGTAAGATTCCTAGGTTTTAAAAAAATTATTTCCCTGTTTTCATTAAAACTAAAAATTTTCAAAATAAGGTTTAAACAAAAGAGAAGATCGCTTACAACATGGAGCTATTTTAATAACGGAAAGAAACTACGCAGCCCTACCGGTGAAACACTCCTCCGGGGGAAATTTATGGGTGTCCCCTTTTGGGGGATACCCGCAAGGGTTTTTTTGGGGTACCCTCAATGAGGAGGACATCAACAGTTTCTGGAGGTTTAAACGGATAAAGGGGCCAAAGAGGGTCTTTGAGCTTAGAGGGCGACTTCAGGGCCCCCAAAGGGAGAGGGCCCAAGGGAAAATCGGAAGGGGCCACGGCGAAAATATTAAAGAGGCTGGGTGAGATGGGGGCGGCCCCTGACGGAGCGCATTGAAAGAGGGGGAGCGGGGCCTTGCAGACCGTCCCCGAAATCGAAAGCCTCTGCCAGCGACCGAGGCTCCCCAAATTACTGGACCAAATCCAGGAAAAAACTGGACAGCACAGGGGCTCGGGATAAACCCACGGATGGATGCCGGAAAAACCCGACCCCCTGACCCCTCAAAAACCTGACTGTGGACTGGCCGAAGGATTTGTGCGGCAAAAGAAAATCTGAAAGAGGCCGCGAAAGGGCCCGGCGTGCGTTTCCCAGGCCCCGGGTTTCCCGTAAACCAAAAAAAATACGCAGCCCCCGCAGCACTCAAGCCCCTCACCGCCCCCCCCCTTTACTCGGAAAAGGGGGGTCACCCTCGAGGGTGGACAGGAGACCGCGGACGAGGGGCTCGCTAAAAGTGAAGGGGGGGCGGTTTATGCCAGAATCCCCGGGGGTTGAAAATTAAAAGAGGGGGAAAGGCAAAAACCAGAAAAGGGCACCTGGGCTGCGCCACCTGTGGGAATGGAGAAAGTCCCCGGGGAAAAACCCTTTAGGCCGCGGGGGCGGGCTAAAAGGTTCGCCCATGACAACAAGGGCCCGCTCGTTTGTTTAAAAGGTATACGTGGACAGCGGGGGGATTAAGACCTACTGAAGCACCTTTTCGCCCAAAACGGGAAAATCTTTTGAGGGCCCATCGGGGGAACAAAAGGGAAATTTAAAAACAAATATAAAAAACCCACCCCGGAACCCTAAACGCGGCACATTTACTCCAAGTGGGACCCCTTTTTTGGCGGAGGGGTGACGGGGCTTGGGGCCCTCTTTCCTGGGCCTTTTAAAAGGGTTTTGGGTTGGAGGACCTCTCCCCCATACAGTGGGAAAGTGCTTGGTTTTCGGGGGGGCCGGAGGTTTTTTCACCGGGGGTGTTACCGGTGGGAGTCCCCCTGCGGAGGGGGGCATCTCGCGAAAAATGCGCAGACCCTTTCGCGGCGTGAACCGCGGGGCTGCAACGGGGCCCAACCCCTAGGGTTCCGGGGTGCCGAAACCTAACGCCCTTTTAGTGCCGAGTGGGCCCAAAACGTTAAAAAATGGGAATTTCTTTGGGTAGAGCAAACCGGCCCCAAAGCTTAAACCGCACACAGGGGTACAACATTTAAAACGTACACATAGACACAAAAAAAACACAGAAAAAAACACACACACACAGACATGAAAAACCCTAAAAACATCAACACAAAAACAGATAATAAAAAGTATAAATAGGGAACACGAGATTCGGGAAAAACAAAAAACTCACAAAAAAAACAAAAATAAAAGTAAAGGAATGGAAAATACAAAGAAAAGGGCGAATGGATATATATTAAATTATATTTATTTTTTTGCCAAATAAAAAGTGGGGAAAAAAGGCCTTAATATGTTTTAGAAACCCCAAAAAGAACACGAAAAATGAGCAATTTCCCGTCCCCAAAACCTGCGGAAAAAGAGTTAGGGTTTTTTACTTACTGTTTTTAAAAAAATAGGATATAGGAAAAAGAAATTAAAACCAATTAAAAAAAGACAAACAAATTATAATGTCATAAGATCCCAAAAAATACAAATAAAAAGGAAGTAACGGAAAAAGTAAAAAATACTATAGTAAAAATACAAAAAATAAGAGGTAAATAAATTCACATAATTGGGTTTTAAACCCAAACCAAAACCAAGCCATGTAAATTTTTCATTTACCAAAGTACCATATAAAATGTAAGGGCCCTATCAATTTTAAAATATATATATAAGAAATATGACAGATTAAAAGTAAATTTGGAAAAACAAAAAAGTAAAAACAAAGATTGTATATTATTTAAAAAATAAAAGAAGAACTCGGAGAAAGTAAAATATATGTAACTTAAATAAAATAAATTGTAATGTAGAACACGGAAAAGGGAAATTAGGAAAAAAAAGAACGTAGAAAAAAATGATACTTTTAAATAGAAAAAAAAACATAAAAGAAGAACTAAGGGAAAATTAAAACTAAAGTAACTTAAATAAATTTTTAATGCACAGAACACGGAAAAAGGGAAATTAGGAAGAAAAAAGGGAAATTAGAAAATAATGATAGAAAAAAAAAAAAGTTAAAAAAAACAAAAAAAAAAAGTAAAAAAAATTTTTAAGAGAAAAAATAAAAATATTTAATTTTTCCTTTAAAAATTAAAATAATTTTGGGGCAAAAAAAAAAAAAAAAAATTTTCCTCAGGCTCTGTCTGGTTTAGAATCAGACGGTTGTGTGTGTGGTGTGTGAGTCTGTGTTTAAACGTATGCTATTGGTCTTTTAAGGTATGATTATGACATGGATCTGGTGGAGAGGTTCAATGAGAGTATGTACGCGTACAGCATACCTACATGTCCAACATATAAATACGGATATGGCGTGGCCATAGGCGATAAAACCACGGTGTTGGACTTCGACAACACCACCGTTGTGGCTAAGGTACGTACAGCACTTTTTTAAAGACAACTCTTGCTTTCAACTGCACGGATGGCGTAGTGGTTTAAGCGGTCGCCACGCCGCTTCCTACTACGTCAAGTGTTGTGGGTTCAAACCCCACATGGGACGACACTTTGTTTGATCCACAAATTGTTGTTCTGAGTCTGGGTGTTCTTTGTGTCCGTTTCATGTATGTTTGTAAAGTCCCCCGTGACACAGGATATATTCCTAATGCGGGAGTTGTCTTTTAAAAAAAAAAAAAAAAAAATGGTGGCCTTGGTTATTGCGAGGCCCCGGGCAGCTAGATCATTGCGAGGCCCTTATCTTTGTGGAATTAGTTTTAATGATGATACTTGGAACAAAAAATGCAACGCAACATATCCTGCTGCTCGAATATAAAGGCATAAGTCTACGACTGTTGACACCGGACAAGGAAAAGAATCGTTTATTCATCGGACTTGCGATGAAGTGGTTGTGGTTTTTGATTCCGTCGATATGAACCCACTAATGACAGAAACCTTTACATTAGTTAGATAGGGGGTTACAAGAATGTCACAGTGGGAGAGCATGCGCTACCAGAGTGATACTTCCACCTCACACAGCAAGTGTGGTTGTCGAATGTCCAACCCCCCTTTTTTTTTTGTTACCGAGCGGAAATCCCATCGGATACCACCTATCGGTGGCATGTCGGAGTCGAACCGACTAAAACCGCACGCCGTCTCGGGTACTAATAGCCGGGGAACCAGGTATACCCTAGAAAGGAAGTCCCTGGTGCTGTCCAATCCCCCTAATTTGGAGGGGTCACTCAAAGACCAGTCTCTTCTTTGAGTTTCAAGTGTCTGTTGGTGGAGGTAGCTATTATCAGTAGAGGTACTTATTATCAGGAGAGAAGGCATACGGTGCATTCTCTCGTATTAATTATTAAAAATAATTATAACTACGATCATCATCATCACAGCATCAACAGCCTTTAATAGTCCACTGCTGGACATAGGCCTCTCCTTAGAAAGGAGGTTTTGGCCTACTATACCACGCTGGCCAGACGGGTTGGTATAGGGTTTGTGTTAAGTTTTCCTGTTCTTTGCAGTGCTGGTTGTCTTAGCCTTAGTCGGCTCTTACGACACCCACGGGATGAATAGGGGTGGTGACACTCTGTATACTTAATCCACATGATAGATTTTTTGTATTTCACTGTAGATGCAGTGATCTTTGTCCCAATAGTCATATCTGCTCATGGATTTATAGCCAAGAGAGTCGATAAACACCTTACAAAGCTCAAGTTAGATAACTGGGTTAAGAATCTGATTCAAAACGGAATCGGGCGGTGCTTGTCCTTAGGGCGTTAAGCACCGAACCGGAGTCTTGATACCGTTTTCTGTGAGGGCATGCTGTCACTCTGGTCAAGCACCCCAAATGGTTCAGAGCATGGACAAAGAGAAGATACGCCCAAAGTAAAGCAACTTGCGTGTCTTCACATAGGATCTTAACTTGAAATAACTTACAGGCCTCAGCAAGTAATTTGTTAAGTGTATCATTTCGATAATGTTGTAATTTGAGCTCAATTAAGCTGGGCCTAGAATTCTGTGTTGCTTTTTAAAAAATATCTTAATACCAATTGAGATTTCCGTTATTAATTATCATCATCTATAATGCCCTCCCTGCCGAAATCAGGATGTCCACAAACCGCCTTGCATTCAAGAGAGAAGTGCGCGATCTTCTTCGGAGTGAATTGGCAGAACAGTACCCGACTGAGTATTTATATATTTTATTAAATTTGTGTTTGTTTATGTATATATGTGTGTTTATATATTGTGTATGTCTCTGGACTTCAATTATTTTTAATTTAATATTTTATTTTGCACCTACCGCATCAAATTTCTACATCACCTGAAGGTTGACTGGGCAAGAATGCCTAAAGGCACTAAGTCCGCCTTTGTACAACATGTGCATTAAGTTTTCTGTAAATAAATTTAAAAAAGTGAAAATAAGCCTTATTCAAAAGATCAAAAACATAATTTTGCTGGCCCCGGGTATTGGTTCTAGCAATATGGTAGATTCCTAGGTTTAAAATAAATTATTTCGCCTGTATCATTAAATCTAACATCTCAAAGTAGAGGCTCAAACACAAAGAGAAGATCGCTTACAAACATGGAGCTATATAATAAGCGGAAAGAAGACTACGCAGCCCTACCGACTGATCAGCTCCTCCGGGAACTGATGATGTCCTTTGAGGAGATACCCGCAAGGGTTCTGGAGTACCCTCAGATGAGGAGGGACATCAGACAGTTTCTGGAGGATAAATCGGATAAGGGCCAAAGAGCGGTCTTCGAGCTTAGTAGGCGACTTCAGGGCCCCAAGGTAGAGGTCCCGAAGGCAAAGTCGGAAGGCCACGGCGACATATTAAAGAGGCTGGGTGAGATGGAGGCGGCGCTGACGGAGCGCATTGACGAGGTGGAGCGGACCTTGCAGACCGATCTGCAGGAAATCGACGCCTCTGCCAGCGACCGAGGCTCCGACTTACTGGACCAAATCCAGGAAAAGCTGGACGAGCACAGGGAGCTCGTGGATAAAACGACGATGGATGCCGGAAACCAGACGCATGACCGCCTCAAAATCCTGATCTGTGGACTGGCCGAAGGAGTCGTAGCGGCAAAAGAAGATCTGAAAGAGGCCGCGAAGGAACTGGCGTGCGTTACCCAGGCCCCGGTTCCTGTACCAAAAACATACGCAGCCGCCGCAGCACTCAAGCCCGCTCACCGCCCCGCACTTCACTCGATGGCGGTCACCCTCGAGGGTGGACAGGAGACCGCGGACGAGGTGCTCGCTAGAGTGAAGAGGGCGGTCGATGCCAGAACCACCGGCTTGAAAATTAATAGAGTGCGAAAAGCTAAGAACCAGACGGTCATCCTGGGCTGCGACACCGTGGAGGAGATGGAGAAAGTCCGGCAAACCATTCAGAGCCGCGGGGACGGACTAACGGTGTCGCCCATGACAAACAAGGACCCGCTCGTTGTGTTAAAAGAGGTATACGTGGACAGCGAGGATGAAGACCTACTGAACGCACTTTACGCCCAAAACGGCGAAATCTTCGAGGGCCTATCGGAGGAACAAAGGAAATTTAAAATCAAATATAAAAAACGCACCCGGAACCCTAAAACAGCGCACATTATACTCCAAGTGGGACCCATTGTATGGCGGAGGATGACGGAGGCTGGAGCCCTCTACCTGGACCTTCAGAGGGTTAGGGTGGAGGACCAGTCTCCGCTCATACAGTGCACGAAGTGCTTGGCGTTCGGGCACGGCCGGAGGTTTTGCACCGGGAGTGTGGACAGGTGTAGTCACTGCGGAGGGCCGCATCTGCGCGAAAAATGCGCAGACTTCATCGCAGGCAGTGAACCGCGGTGCTGCAACTGCTCACACTCTAGGTTGCGGGATGCCGACCATAACGCCTTCAGTGCCGAGTGCCAAATACGTAAGAAATGGGATTACTTGGCTAGAGCAAACACGGCCTACGCTTAAACCGCACACAGGATACAACATAACACGTACACATAGACACAAAACACACAGAAAAACAAACACGACACACACAGACATGAAACACACTACAACATCAACACAAAGCAGATATATAAAATGTATACTAGGCATACACGAGTATATCGGACACAAAACACTCACAAGAAGACAAATAATAAAAGTATGGAATGGAAACTAGCAAGAGAAAAGGCGAATGGATATATATAATAATTATATGTATTTTATTGCCAAGATAAAAAGTGTAATAAAAGCATTAAGTATGTTCAGAAACAAACAGAACACGAAAAATGCAGCAATCCTGTCACAAAACCTGCGGAAAAAGAGATTAGTTTAAATACTTACTGTTGTAAAACTAATAGATATAGGAATGAAATTAAGAACCAAGTAAAACAGACAAACAAATTATAAACTGTCATAAGATCTAAAAAAATACAACTAAAAGTGGAAGTAAGCGGAAGAGTAAAAAATACTAGTAGTAAGAATACAAAAGTAAGAGGTAAATAAATGCACATAGATTGTTTAAGCCCAGCCAAAAGCCAAGCCATGTAATGTATCATGTACCATGTACCATATAATATGTAAGGACGTATCAGTATAATATATATATATAGAGAAATATAGACAGATGTAAGAAGTAATTAGGAAAAACAAGAAAGTAGAAAACAATGATATGTATAGTAGTAAAACATAAAAGAAGAACTCGGAGAAAGTAAAAATATATGTAACTTAAATAAATAAATTGTAATGTACAGAACACGGAAAAGGCAAATTAGGAAGAACAAGAACGTAGAAAATAATGATACGTATAGTAGAAAAAAAACATAAAAGAAGAACTCAGAGAAAGTTAAAACATATGTAACTTAAATAAATTGTAATGCACAGAACACGGAAAAGGTAAATTAGGAAGAACAAGAACTTAGAAAATAATGATATGTATAGTAGAAAAACATAAAAGAAGTACTTAGAGAAAATAAAAATATATATGTAACTTAAATAAATAAATTGCAACGCACAGAACACGGAAATCCCACAAGGGGTATAGTGTGAATTGGAAAACAGAATAAACATAGTATAAGATATAAAAGGTCCCGGTGTATCCTTGACTGGGGAAAAGCGAAATAAAAAAAAAAATAAAAAAAATAAAAAGTAGAGGCTGAATTGTCCTCCATTGTCAATTTGTTTTTTTTATTCATTTGATATCTTGAAATCAACGTTAAATATAAATGATTTGACAATAACTAGGTATGACGTCACGAAATAGTATCTCATACAAAAATGTATCGCGTCCAGCGTTTTGACGTTTAAATAAAGACACTGATGTGACTTGATAGTCATCTACTCTTTTTTTCTTTTTTTTTTTTTTTTTTTCATGGCATGGCATGGCGTGGCATGTCGGACTCGAACCGACTAAAACCGCACGCCGTCTCGGGTACTAATAGCCGGGGAAACAGGTATACCCTAGAAAGGAAGTCCCTGGTGGACAGTCATCTACCTTAGCCAAGCAAAAATCTCGCCAAGCTACAAAGGTACAAAAGAAAAGAGAGCTTTTTACAAGTACTTAACAATGACTTCTGTGTCCACCAGTGTTTCGTTTGTGGTCTGACGGCAACCCACATTCCTCAAGACGCGTACTGCGGTGACGCGTTCGCTGGCGATTTCCTCCCCCTGGTGCCTGTAGACCCTCGGGCCAGAGGACACATCGCTAGGTACAGGAAGTATTGCAGATATTTAGACAGGTGAGAGAACATTTTTACCTATATTCTAGAAAAACGTAGAAGTCACAAAGAAGTCAAAATCAACACCACTTCGACTACACGAATGTTACAAGACTTTGTGTGATCCACAAATTGTTGTTCTAGGTGTGGACGGTTTATGTGTGTTTGTAAAGTCCCCCGCGACATAGGATATATTCCTAGTGCGGGAGTTATGTTTAAAAAAAAACCATTCTTTTCCAAAATGACCTTACGAGAATGCGACCCTGGTCTCTTTGAACACCTGTAGTCTCAGTCCCGATTACCGTTCGAGACTTGAGGCACCTGGTTTCATTATTCTAATTTACCTTCTTTACTTTTACAAATTATCTTCTAATCCATGTGATGACGGATTAAGAATACGCAGTGTCACCACCCCTATTCATCCCGTGGGTGTCGTAAGAGCTGACTAAGGAAGCAAACTACGCAGGACAACAGCACTGCAAAAAGAGGGAAACCTTGACAGAAACGCTATACCAACCCGTCTGACCAGCGTGGTATAGTATGTCACTGTCTCTGTTCTTAAGAGAGTTCTAAGTATAGCAGTGGACTACTAAAGAATGATGAATTTGCCTTCTTTTTTTCTCCTTTATGAAAACAATTATGAGCACATATTGATAAAGTCTACTACGCGACCCTGAAATATGAACATACCTATTGTAAGATTCTGTACATAATGGTACGGAGAAAAATGTATTAATCTGGTTATTTTCAAGTCGGACCCCTATAGAAATTCCGGAACACCCTCGAGCGGTGTACGGCAGATTCTCCGGAGGATGCTCAGTGAGATGGACTGATCTATCAGGGGTGTACACCCAGAGGACTTGCAGGAGCAAAAGGAGAGCGGTCACCGGCAATCATTTCGGCAGTAAGAGGATGGCGAAATTAGAAATGGCACTCAATGTAAGCAAAAATATTAATCACTAGCTGACCCGCGCAACTTCGTCTGCGTCTCTCAATAGTAATAAATTTTCTCCGTTTTTGAAACATTCTTCATTGGTGCTCCGCTCCTATTGGTCTTAGCGTGATGATATATAGCCTATAGCCTTCCTCGATAAATGGGCTATCTATCACTGAAAGAATTTTTCAAATTGGACCAGTAGTTCCTGAGATTAGCGCGTTCAAACAAACAAACAAACAAACAAACAAACAAACAAACTCTTCAGCTTTATAATATTAGTATAGATTATGATTTAAATGTTACAGTCGGAAGGCTAAGCGGTCAAAACTAACTTAACCGGCATTGGTCAATATTTTTTATTTTATTTATTTATTCATACTTCCTGCAGATACATTGCATAAGGCGGACTTAATGCCATAGGCATTTTCTTCCAGTCAACCTTGGGGTGATGCAGAGATTTGTGTGTGGCAGGTGTATAATGAGATAAATTATTTAAATTGTAGTCGGTTGCAAGATGTTATACTACACAGATATACGGGGATACATATATAGATGTAAATATAATTTATACGTACTATATAATATTAAAAATACAAAAAAAAACATTAACACACACACATACATCCATACATATATGCCTGCATTGATGAACACACGAGGGGTTATTTTGATGACTCCGTCAACAAGTCTCCATAGAGCTTGCGTACTCTGATCTCAAAGGTTGTTCGGTTGGTGGATCTCCTGATCTCTAGGGGAAGGGTGTTCCAAAGATTTACCGCTTGGACAGTGAAGGAGGAATGGACGATACGGGAGTTATGTGAAGGACAAAGAAGGAGGAAATTATCAGAGGAGCGAAGGCTTCTGTCAATAGTACTTTTGAATTTGCTTTTACCTTTTAGTCCTTAATAACTGACAAACTGTTATACTGTACTGTCCTTATGCTGTATGTTTATGTATGTATTCATATCTATATATGTATGTAAGTGTATGATTCGTGAATGTGTAATTATGTATGTAAACATTAGTTAATATACGGAAGTTGTAAATGCGCACCACCCGCTATATATTACTATATAGTATAGTCCGTGTAGTGACGGATTAAGAATACGGAATGTCACTACCCCAATTCATCCCGTGGGTATCGTAAGAGCCGACTAAGGGAGCAAAACAACGCAGGACACCAGCACTGCAAAAAGAAGGAAGACTTGACACAAACCCCCGTCTGGCCAGCGTGGTATAGTAGGCCAAAACCTCCTTTCTAAGGAGAGACCTATGTCCAATAGTGTAAAGTAATTAAAGGCTGTTGATATGATAATGATAGTCCATCTAAAGGTTGCCTGGAAGAGATCGCAGGCGGTCAGGTACGAGTCGAACTTGTGTGCCGAGGGTTCCGTACCTACCCAGATTTTACTTAAAATTTCCTGAAAATTTGCAAGTACCAAAATTTATCTTCATTTTCAATTTATTTTTATTTTTTGGAATTATTCCTTTGTTTGTGCTGTAAGACTTTTCTTTTTGCCAAATTTTAAATTAAGGTAAATTTCGGTACTTACAAGTTTTCGCGAAAATCGAAATTAGCCCATATCTTTTTATCGTGTTGACTCAGGACCTTGATTTTTATACACCTGCGAAAATCTACGTAAAATCTGGGTAGGTACGGAATCCTCGGCGCACAAGTTCGACTCGTACCTGACCGGTTTTTTTTAAATGAAATAAAGGTAGTTTCGATTTTGACTGCTGCGTCAGATATGTTATTGGATAATTTGAATTAAGATAGAACAGTGACCATTGTCGCCACATTCCTTCCATGTTGGTAAATAATTTAGCTTAAAGAAGATTACAACAGTGTGATATTGTTGTTTGAAGCGTGAGGAAAAATGTTACACAACAAAAAGCGCCCAATAATGCTAATGCTAAATGGCGATACCGTGGGAGAGAAAGTTACTAAAGTCCAACGACCCTTCCCCCCTTCTCTCCCTCTGATACTGAGACCTCAGGGCGGCAACGCGTTCCGTGACTCTTGAGTTGTAGATTTTTGATTTTTATGGAGGAGGGGGGGGACAAACGAGCAGACGGGTCACCTGATGAAGACCGACTGCCATCGGCCATGAACGCCTGCAACTCAGGAGTAACAAGCGCGTTGCCAACCTTTAAGGAAATAGTACGCTCTTTTCTTGATGTTTTGAAGGTCGTATCGGTCCTTAAATACCGCAGACGATAACTTGTTCCGCAGGTTGGTTGAGGGAGGCAAAGCGTCTTGAAGCGCACAGTGGCGATCCCTCCTTTAACAGGCGCAGAGTGGCACACCGTGTGGCTTTAGTCGGTCCGATTCCCCCCGGTCAACCCCGGTAGGGTGACGGCTCGAAGGGGTTTCCACACGTAAAAAAAAGGCTAGGTAACAAATATTGTAATTTTTTTTTCAGCATCTTGACAACGGCTGCATAATAAGTCCAATGGCCACATTATTGCCTTTGTCCAGAGGTATTTCCTTATACGCGCGGTTCCATGCCTGCGTGTGTACTGGTGCCTGGTGCAACCAAGCCAAACAGGAGGTGCCTTGGATGGTGAACATTATAATTACGTTCTGGTTCTACAATTTGTTGAAAAATAAATAAAATAGTTACCAGAAAAGGGGGTTACATGTTGTGATTGGTTGTGTCCGTTTATTTTAATAAATGTGATTGTTCTTGATATGGTTTTTTATTATCTGACTTCACGGATGGCGTAGTCAATTAAGACGTCGCCATGTTGTGGGTTCGATCCCCACATGGGACGACACCTTGTGTGATCCACAAATTGTTGTTTTGAGTCTGAGTGTTCTTTGTGTCCGTTTCATATATGTTTGTAAAGTCCCCCGCGACACAGGATATATTCCTAACTAGCTGAGACCCGCGGTGTTACCCGCGTTTGTTGTTATAACCGCGGGCAACGCCGCGGGGCGAAGCTAGTCTAAAAAAAGTATCAGCTATCTGCCAGTGAAAGCCCCGTCGAAATCGGTCCAGCCGTTCCAGAGATTACACGGAACAAACAGACAGACGGACAAAAATTGTAAAAAAATATATTTTGGCATATGTACCGTGTAAACATACATTTGCATTTAGTAAAAAGCGGTTATTTTAATATTACAGACACTCCAATTTTATTTATTTGTATAGATACAAACAAATTATAGATAATGTGAATGAAGTGTTCATCACACACCTATTTCTCCTAAGTGAGAATCGAACTCACGACCTCCGGCTTAGCACTCAGGATTCACACGATTCACACTAAGAATAACAATACAGTTAAAAGCACATAACCTTAAAAAACATTCTAAGAAAATCAATAATCCATACTAAAGTGTGTCTGTCTGTTACCTCTTCACGCTTAAACGGCTGAACCGATTTAAATGAAATGTGGTATAGAGATCGTCCGAGTCCCGGGAGAGGACATAGATTAGTTTTTATACCAGAAATCATTCCTTAAGGGGGTGAAACGGGAGGTGAAAGTTTGTATGGGGAATCAATAACCGCTGAACCGATGTTATTTACATAAATATTTTGATTTGTGAAGTTGCCGCACCCAGTTCTTGTACTCAGCCTCCCCTTTTGTAGAATTAATCAATGTAAGTGCTCATCCCACCCCCTTTAGTTATGACGTCTACAACTTATACCGCTAAGTGGCTAAGTTATTGTCGATAGGATTAGTTCATCGGCTTAAATAAACTGTGCAAATACTCGTGTTATTTCTTAGATTGTGTTGCGCTTTTGGAGCATATATTCCTACGGTATTCTATAAAGTCAAATAGAAAGAAAGAAAGAAAATTTATTGGCACATGCAAAATTCCTTACTAAAAGTGCCAATAGGTCTGCAGCTCAGCATACTGTTGGATGGCCACAGGTGCCTTCCAACGCTGGTTTTCAGCTGCAGCCCATAAGACTGGGTGTTGTCTGCTCGGAGCCATTCAAGTGTGTGATTGTGTGCGTGTATATATATATATATATGTTGGTGCGACGCATTGATATCATAAAATAAGGGAGAAAAAACTACACTAATGAATAGGTAAAATTGGGAAAAAATGCAATTTCAAAGCAAAGGATTCGACCCTTTTGTAACTTTAACATGTAATAGCTAACTAATTAACAAATAAGATATTTTTTTTGTTAGATGTCACTTTAGGGGTTGGTATAAAAAACCACCCCAAAAAATTTACTTCTCGTTTTTTACAGTTTCTAATATTGCAAAAATTATAAAAATATATATATATTATAATTAGTTTATCGATAGTCATATATGGTTTCATTTTCATGAAGATATCTTGAATAGGTACTGAGAAAAAAAAATTGTTTGTTAAGGGTCACCCCCATTATTCCCTTACTATAAGGGTTAGGGGTGTGAGATTAAGTGTATGGCTATTATAGATGAAAAACAATAAAAACAAGGTAAGCATCCTTCATCAGACACGAGTGCAGTTTTTATATGCTTAACCGGCTAGATCCTTTGCAAATCAGAATGTTTTCTTCAATTTATCTATAACTAGCTGATCCGCGCAACTTCGTCTGCGTCTCTCAATAGTAATAAATTTTCTCCGTTTTTGAAACATTCTTCATTGGTGCTCCGCTCCTATTGGTCTTAGCGTGATGATATATAGCCTATAGCCTTCCTCGATAAATGGGCTATCTAACATTGAAAGAATTTTTCAAATCGGACCAGTAGTTCCTGAGATTAGCGCGTTCAAACAAACAAACAAACAAACAAACAAACTCTTCAGCTTTATAATATTAGTATAGATAAGTATGTATTTGACTGCCTCGATGGTGCAGTGGTAGTGTATGCGAGTGCTGTGCTGAGGTCTCGTGTTAGACTCCCGGGACCAAATGTTTGTATGACCTGCAAATATTTGTTTCGGAGTTTGGGGTCTCCTCTATGTATAATATGTATGTGTTTACAAAAAATGTATATAATTATTCTATCAGTCAAATTATTATATTATTTAGGAATATATATATATGTATATAAGAAGTCTGGTTACCATAGTACAGGCTCTGTCTAGTTTGTTATTATTATTATTACCCAATTGAATAATGACAGGCCCGTTGGTCTGGTTTGTGACTCTGACTGCTAAGCCAGAGGTCGTGGGTTCGATTCCCACCCAGCACAAATAATTGTGTGATGAGCACGATCACTTGTTCTGTGTCTGGATGTAATTTATCTATAATATGTATGTTTTTAGAAATATATCATTTGTTCTATGTCTGGGTGTAATTTATCCATAATAAGTATGTATGTAATAAGTATGTATGTATTTAGAAATATATAAGTATGTTTATCAGCAGTCTGGTTACCATAGTACAGGCTATGCCTAGTTTGGGATCAGATGGCGGGCGGGAAGAGTTTTTTTTACTGAACTCTAAAAGACTATAGTCGAGTTAAATGCGCTTCTTTAAAAATATTTAAAGGCAACCAAAATAAGAAAATAAAGATTTTGTCATTTTGTATACAACATAGATACGTTTTTCTGTACGTGGGGTTCTTAATTTATAAAGTATTTATAATACATAAGTGTTATACCTTCATAATATACGTTCAGGCTGCACATTGATTTCCCTTGCCTACCTCGAGGTGGGTGTATCCGACCACGAAATTTCAGCCAATCAGAGCGCTGTAAACAGGTGGGCGCGAACCGCCATTTTGTAAAATGTCGGAGGGAAAAGAGAAAATGCTTGCTTTTGTATTTATTGAAGATTTGTAGTTACGGATATATAAATGTTTGCTGCCAATTTTCTTGAAATCTTTGGAAAAACAATGCAATAAAATCTTTTATATACCTAAGTATGTAAATATATATTTAGTAAGTAATACAAACATTTACACGTAGACTCAACACTCATTATTCCATCATAATCAAGAGCCTGTGGTATTCCACTGCTGGACATAGGTCTCTCCTTAGAAAGGAGGTTTTGCCCTTCTTTACCACGCTGACTAGACGGGTTGGTATAGGGTTTGTGTCAAGTTTTCCTTCTCTTTGTAGTGCTGTTGTCTTGAAAGGGTCACTTGAATAAAAAATTGATCTGAATACCAAGAGTGGTAATGGATGACATACTTACATACAATTACTCTAGCGTGAGTAATTAGATACATATAATTATTACTATCTGTATTCTCAGATCAAATTAAAAAGTTCAAACGGTACTCTGTGAACGAAGAAGTAATTCCAATTAAAACTACGCCTTGGCGTGTACATACACAAATACACGCACACAAGTACAAAGAAACTACGCCTTGTCAGTCGAAATAACAAGTAAAAATGCTGAATTGTGTTGTGAAAGGGTGTAAAAATTAAACTACAAGAGATAGACAGTAGGATCGAACGCATTTCACACATAAGTAGGCGTAGAAACCAAAAAAATTAATAGAATAAAATTATGATGGCCCAAGCGCACATGTTTATAAAACCAGCGTCCCTTCGTTCCTCGCAAAGTTCCATCTTAACTTTTTTATTTGATCTGAGTCTGCATTATTCTAAAAATGACCGTATAAAATAGTTGTATAGCTATCGAATACTGCAAACATAATAAAACACAATTGTTAAATTTAAAGTGGTATCTAAAGTGGGTGATTTTGCTAAGAGGAGGAGTGGGAAAAGTAGGAGTTCCATGCACATAGGTATGGGTCAGCTCAACCGATCGCATTCTTTTTTTTTTGCGTTTCTTTGAGTGGGTGAAATTACCGGAGTCCATTTCTCCTAATTCAGAAAATACTAACAATAAACTAGTTGACTCAATTTCAAAACTTGGTTAATTATATACTTTAATATCTATTTTATCTCCAAAAACCTATATTTTAAAGAAAAAGCAATAATAATATATTATCTCACACATCTCATACACGGCCGTTTGATCCCAAACTAAGCGGAGCCTGTACAATGGTAACCAGACAGCTGATAAATATACTTATATATTTCTAAAAACATACATATTATAGATAAATTACACCCACACACACATTATATTTGTCCTGGGTGGGAATCGAGCCCACGACCTCCGGCTTAGCAGCCAGGGTCACTAACCACTAGACGGACAGGCCCGTAAAGCGATAAAAAGCGCCGTAAAGCAATATTTACATTACGTATTTTGTATTAAAAAAAACAATTTAAATTTCCCTTGTGAACGCTGAATAGTGTCATGGCGTCTTGAATGACGTCACAGTCTGCGAAACAAAACCGTTTACATCTGTGTCCAGTGTCAACTGAAACTGTATTAAGGTGAGAAAATATGCTAAAAACAAAAAACAATGAGGAGTAACCTGCTCTGTTGTATGAAAACGTCAACAACAACAATGATGTTTGATGAAACACTTTCTGATTGGTGTTCGCTGTCACGTGACTTAATGCCTATTTTGTACGAATTTATTTAAAAAAATATTAATAATCTTTAACTTTTATCAGAAATAGACTGGTTTTTTCTTATCTACGAGTATGTCTCTTAATTTATAATTTGAAACTATAAACCAAGCAATTTGTTATTAGTGGACACAAGCCTATTATTGCTCATAAGATCTGGAAGTTTCTCGAAGCAAGAAGCACTATAAAAAGCGCCATTAAACCAATAACTTAATTCCATTCTCCAAAACT